CAACGGGTAAAATTTATCAACCGTAATTAATAAATAAGAATAACCGTTCGAAACTGGCAAAGGTCCATTTATATCAGTATTTACTTCTGAAAATCTTTTATTGGGAGCTAAAATAGGTTGTAAGGGTGAAATAGTAATGTCTAGTATTTTTAGATTTCTGGCATGGGTACAAGCTCGACACATTTTCCTAATATCTGAATTCATATTTGGCCATGCATACCTAGCTTGAATTAAATGTTGAGTAGCTCTAAGTCCAGGGTGGCTAAGATTATGCAAAGTGTCAAAAATTTTTTGTCTAAATTTCTTAGGTACAACTGGTCTCTTATTGGGTAATTTAGAATCACAAATTAAAGTTAAGCCTGGAACTGAGGTATCAACAAAGTCTAATTGTAAACTCATGGGATTATTTAACAATGCCTGTAATTTCTGGGTCCGTGTTTTGCTTCTTGAGCGATAGAAGTAGAGAAAGAGAAGGAAAAAGATCGGAAATCGCTGCAATTGTTGATCTGGATAGAGCATCAGCTACGATTATTTGCGAACCAGGTATATATCTGATATCAGAAGTGAATTGACTGATGAAATCTAGATGTCTGCTTTGCCGAGGTGAAGTTCTCTCCATGTTTTTGTGCAGAGCAAAAGAAAGAGGTTTGTGATCGGAAAGAATAAAGAATTCCCGACCTTGAACATAGTAGCGAAAGTGACGAATACTCAGAAAAACTGCTATAAGTTCTCGATCAAATGTAGAATACTTTTTGCTGGGCAGTATTGAGAGCTTTGCTGAAAACTGAGAGAGGTTTCCCAGTGCTCTCCTATCTTTTGTTGTAAATAGCGCCAACACCAGTTAGACTTGCGTCGACGGCCTATGGAAAGTTCTGCATCCGGTTTCGGGGTGATTAAGCATAATAAAATCACTCAGAGCATTTTTAGACTTTTCAAAAGCTAATTTAGTGTCGGGCTGTCCATATTACAGGCTGATTTTTAGAAACATAATTGGCTGCTAGTTTATGTAAAGGAGCTAAAATACAAGCACAATTGGGTAAAAACCGTTGATAATACGTGAAGGCGCCTAAATACGATCGTAACATGTCGTTTTGTCTGAGGTAAGGGAAATTCTCTTAACGCTTTTAACTTTAGATCCATTGGTTTAATACCCTCCTTATCAACTAAAAAACCCAAAAAGATTAGCTTATCAACTCCAAATGAACTCTTTCTCTGTTAATTTACTAGCCATATTCATTTAAAGTTTCAAATAATTTATGCAAATGTTGCTTATGCTCGTCTACAGTTTTCAACTATATACAAGAATGTCATCAACATATGCAAATACATTAGTAATTGCCTAGTAACATCATCTATTAACCGCTGGAAGCTAGCCTGACTGTTGCTAAGGCCGAAGGGCATGACGTTCCATTTAACCTTGTTAAATCCCGTAGTAATCGCAGATTTTTCACGACTATCCGGGTGTAACGGAATTTGAAAAATAAGCCGATTTTAAGTCAATTTTTGAAAACAACAGCCACACCCCCTAACTTCATGGTAAAAGATTGAATATGGGGTATAGGATAAGTATCCTTCTTAGTCTGTAGGTTGAGTAATCTAAAATCCCCGCATAGCCTATAATGGTCTGGGTTATTTATATCCCCATTTTTCTTAAGGACTACTGTGATGGGTGATGACCACTCTCCACTAGAGGGCGATACAACTCCCTGGTTTAACATTTTATTAATTTGGGCTTTAACGGCGGCTGCTTTTAATGGCGCTAGACGTCGCGGTTTCGCATGAACTGGAAATCCGGTTGTTACTATTCTGTGACTAACATTATGTTTACGCTTCGGTGACTTATAGTCTTCTATCAATATCTGTGGGAATTTATTTAATAAGGCTTCATATTCATCATCATTATTATTCTTAGGTGATGAGTACGCGGAAACAGAATTTAAATTACCAGTAGTTGTTCTTATAATGTTTTGAGAAAGTGGGTCTATTACAACCTTATTTTTAAAATCAATTAGAAGTCCATAATGGGTTAAAAAATCATTTCCTATAATTGGTATGGGCACATCAGCTATCGTAAATGACCACGGTAAAAGTACATCGTGGTTAAAAGTTAAATTTAAACGTAATTTACCAAAGGTAGATATTGAAGTACCATTAATTGCTTGTAAAGTTTTATGACATTTCCTATGAACGGCATATTTACTTGATGGCAAAATACTAATTTCAGCTCCCGAATCTATTAAAAACTTATTATTGGAATCGGGATCGTATAAAAATAATTGACGCTTATTAGAGTGAGATGTGCCACGCTTAGTTAGCGTCGAAACTGAGTGGCCAGTCCTTTTCCCTGAAACGTACAACCAGGCTCGCATTTAAAAGCATTTCGACCAAAAGTCGAATGATAGAAACACCATCCGCTAGGAGATGAAGTGTTTGGGTTGGAATAACGGTAATTGAAATTACCGTTCCTAGGTGAATTTTGAAATCTATTTGGAGCTGAGAATCTATGGTTATTAAAGGGCTGTCTAAAGTTCGATTGAAAACGTCCCCTGGGCTGCCAATTAGTATTATATCTCGGATACCTCGGATAAAACTTAGTTCTAATATCAGTATTATTTGAAGTTAAAGTTTGATTTTGCAACTGATTAGTTAAGGCATTAACACTATCAGTTAACGTATTAATTTTAGCTTCCATCAACTTATTTTGGGTCTGACTTTTAATATAACTTGAATCAGGTGAATTATTAGAATTTCTATAAATCTTATCGGCCTTCTCTGCTAACTCTTCTAAACTATCATCGTCCGACGCAACTAGAATTGACTGCATTGCCTTAGGCAATTTTTCCAAAAATAATTTTTTCAGTAAAGCACGAGCAAAAGGGTCCCCTCTATGATCTGGATTTATAAGTAATTTTAATTTTTTTAGCAAATCTGACGGCAATTGGTCACCTAAATCCCCTGAGTTAAGAAATGACGAAATCATTTGGTCTTCCGTCGGTGCATAATTTTTTACTAGGGCTTCTCTAAGTTCCGTATACGGATTTGTAGCGCTTATGTCTAGCAAATCCGCCCCTATTTTTTCAATTATTGAACTATCAAGAACAGCTAATACTTCATCAAACATTCTTGTTTCTGATGTAATATCAGCTCTAGAAAAAGCAGATTCGACACATCGAATCCATAAAAGGGGAGAGTGAACCCAAAATTGCGGGATTTTAATATTATCACGATCATTATATCTAAAATGTGATAACGGTTTCCTATTTGACGACGACGAAGGTATAGGTTCGAATAGATCATCACGTCGTGGTCACCAAATTTATAGGATGCTTGTTATCTTAAAGCAATCCTAAACAAAGCTTCGTTAAAAGCATAAACTCTCGGTTAACTAGAGTTTAAACCAGACTTCCAAATTCCCTCTGACTCAGTTAGGGCAGAGCTTAACCCAGCAGACAACGAATATAATACAAAGTCACCAACCTTAAATTCTTGTAACAACACAGAGCAGAATATAGATACAAGATCAAAACCAGTGAGTTAATTTAAAGAATTATTGTCCGTTTATATACAATAGTCGAGACGCCTGTTATGCCTTAGGGTTTAGCTTTTACGTGGATATCGTTTATAATAAATAAAGTAAGAATGCCGTAATTAAGTCTCGGCAATTCTTGTAAAACGATTTAGAAGGATGTCTGTAGCCAATTAAATAGTTAGCTATAAGTGTCGAGTGATTAAAAGCTGGCTTGTACTAGTTTGTCTTGCTCAAGGGCAAGATAACGTGTTTTTAACTAACGGGTTATTCCTATGAAAGCCAATTAAGTATTTAACGTAAATTTCATTTTTTCTACCTTTTTCAAATTCAGAAGAAATCTTGTCCTAACTGGAATTACTTTTTTTCTTACTGTTAAAAATATGGTCTAATTAACTAATAATAATCCCTACAGATGTACTCCTGTCACAGCATCATCCAGACTGCCGTTCCTCCCGCCCAAAGCTGTTGACATACAACAGGGGTCGGCAATCTACGGCCCGCGGGCCATATTCGGCCCGCAAAGTTAAATAATCCGGCACGCGATGCTTCACTGAAATTCAGCGACAAAAAAGCGACTGCGAATTTTAACCATAATTCAATTTTATAATCTACGCACGATCGGCTGAAAAGCCCCACAAGCAACTTTGATTTTGTTTCTGGAACACGGGAGTTACGAAACGATTTTTTCTTTTTTCTCTCGCTTTGCTGACTTCCGTTTTCTTGAAAACTAATTCGGGCTGTTTACTTCGTTTGATGTCAACGTTGCAACGATACAGTTGCTGAAAATATTCAAATGCAATTTCTTGAGATGTAATGCAATGAGGAAATTAAATCTATTTTCTATTCGTGAGATGTGTCACTGCTTGATTTTTATAAAAAGTATCTTCTTGAAGGGAGTTTATATCCAAATTTGAGAAGCTATCAAGCGTAAGGCAACAACATGTGTGACATTGAATGTCATTTGTACATTTTAAGCCTGGTAAGACGACTTGAGTCACGAGTCGTCACGGTGTTCGCTTGCTATTTAAAGTTGAAATTTCAACTTCTGATCAGGGTAAAAAATGTAATTTATCAGCCACCCGTTCGGTTTTTAACTTTCCTAAAAAATATGTTCGGCCCGTCAAGATTGCAACCCTTGATTTTGGCCCGCGAGCTTCTGCGTTTCAAATAAACATATTGTCGGGAGTAAGTAAAAATACCCAGATAATATGAATTATGTTAAGCTGTCCCCAAACAAGACGTAATCTCAGCAAAAATGCAAATTTCCGAAAATACTTGATGTTAAAAATGTTTTTGAAACTTCTGGGTGTATTGAGTTTTAAATTCCTAAAACCGCTGAACTACATTTACTTCTACGGCTTGGTCTATGAATGACGCATTATATGTAAGGCCGCAGTTTAATTTTATATTGGGAAACTTGGTAAATGCAATATTTATTTTAGGAATATGTATTGATGGCTAGCTAGCTAACTGACATTCATCGTTGATTACACGGTCTGGTACACACAGATTGTCGGTAACCGACAGGGTAAGTGTACGCTTCAAATATTCAGGAATGAAATTTAATGATACAAGATGAAGGTAATAGCGGCGGGTTTCCCTAAAACTGGAACGAAATCTGTTTGCAAAGCCCTGCGAACTTTGGGATATACAGTCTATGATTTCGAAGAAAACTCTACCTATTTAGCTGACGACTGGGCTCAGATTTTACACCATGGATGGACAACAGAACATTTCCAGAAAATGTATAAAGATATTGACGCTGTAACTGACTACCCGGCGTGTTGCTTCTGGGAAGAAATCTATAAAGCTTTTCCAGATTCAAAGGTTTTTAGACGTATACTAGACGTTGTTATAATGCTGTGATCTTGTTATGAAGAACGCTGATTGGAACCGAGTGTCGCTCGATGTATTAGGAACAAGATGGCATAGTCAACAGTGATTGCATATAGTTGACACCAATATGGCCTGTCTGATAAGCAAACAACCAGTCTCCGTATTCAAGCACGTGCTGTTATTTGAGAATCACGTTTATAATTCACCGGATTCACGCACTAAGCGTCACTTGATTTTTACGATTTTTTTTATCGATTTATTCATTAGATAGGAAAAAAGTTTTTTGTTTTATAATCGGACAAAATATTTGCGAATCTAATTGAAAGCTGAAAACGGCAAATGAGGAAACGTCCATGTAGAAAAGGTTTATTAGGATTTATATATTTATCCCGGGGAGCGGAAAGCCGATAAGACGGCTTACCTATAGTATATGACAAACCACGGCATCTCGTCCGGTTACCATTCCATGCCGGGTATGGGATTAGTTGGTTATATGTTTTGGGAAGCATGGACATGATGGTGGGGGAAGCCGTAATCGACTGGCGGTTACGTGAACTCCCCTACGGCGGCGAGGAGTTCAGCAATCCTCTCGCACATAACGACCTCCACATGGGATTCGAACCTGCGAACCCACGCAGAGTAATCAGAGGTGCGATGGCGAGCGTATCCCCAACGCTTAGCACGATGAGCCACACCGCCACGTAAATAATTGCTTATCTATATTCAGATTATTTTAATGATCAGAGATGATGAAGAATCCTGGTTCACGAGTGCAGCAAATCAAATACGAGAGGGTGAGAGCAAGATGATCTTGCGACTATTCACTTTTGATATCTCCGACAGGAAACAGAATGATGGTTAATGTTAAAAATTATGGTGAGAAATTTTTTAATCAGTATGAAAGGAACCAGTTCAATTGTCATTTCGGTACAAATTATAGTAGTACTCAACATTTATATTCTTTGAGGATGCATCCATAAAGTAAGATAATCTTAAAATCATAAACCACTTTTACCTTTTATGGATTATTTTGCATTTTAATAATCATCTGTCGTATTGTTCCTCCTAGGTAGAATTGCTTTTGGGATAAATGATTCATTTTTATGGAAGCCATTTAGTCTGTCGTATCTGAATGAACAGCTGATGAAATTGAAATACAGGGCGCATAACGCATATGTTTTGCAGGTAAATTCACCGACTACTTTCAACTTTCAAATAACCAGTTCTTAAAATAGAAGTTTGTTTATTAGGACTATCACTTTTGCAGCAAATCACATTTTTCTAGAATGCCTGGTAAAAGTTTTTTATTCGGAATTATGGTTCTTTTAGAATGTCTACTACGAAAATTTTGTTGTTCCCATGTCGAATTGAAGTTACAGCTATCGCAAATTTCTTTTTCTGCCTAAATAGTTTAGCGTTTGTCATATTGTAACTACGTAGAAATTTGGATGATATTCAAACCGATTTAGAATGCTCCTCCGGAAAAGCTTCTCGTATTCAAGTGTTCAGAAGGATGGGAACCTTTGTGCAAGTTTCTAGATGTTTCCGATGCCTGATTTGCCGTTCCCGCACAAAAACAAAGGTGCAACCCTAACAAACGAGATTTTAGAAGGAAATCCATTTGTACAAAAGATGAAAAAGGAAGTCCAAATAGCACTATTCGTAATAGTAATTTGTACCGCTATTGTAGTGTATTTCTTTTTCAATAGCTAGATAGTTAATAACAGTTCTAATTTGATATAATAAGAGCGATTGATTTGTCGACATGCTCATAATAAAAAATAACAATGAGGCTTCATCTTGCGTTGGTTTTATTTGGGAAAACGCATAGACCAAAATATATGGATTGAAGACTACTATTCTCTAAGATAAATAGATAGGAACGATATTATTATCGATAGCATGCGACATAGAAATTTCCCATTACTCAGGACCACGAGAAGTGCTAACAAAATACATTGAACAAACACTTCCGTTAGTATAACATTTATCCCAGTTCTGGTCTTTTTACGGTGGTTCTTAGATCAGATACTTAAGATACCGGATTGGTATTTTAAAACGCAGCTACCGTTGAGCCTTTCCCGACGAAATTTGAGAGAAATGTATTTTGTCTCACACCTCGTGGATGTTCGGATTTCATAATGTAAGACAATAATCATACCCGACAAAACAGCACTGAATCAAAGACCTGCACAATAAACATATGAAAAAATGTTGACATAACATAAACATGGACATTTTAGTCTGTGACACATTGCAATTGTATTGGCGTTTGGAGTACAGGGACATTGCAGAATACACTAAGACGTAATCTCAGCAAATTTATGCTGTGATGGTCACATTCCCGGAAAAACTTGATGTTAGAAATGTTTTTCAAAATTCTGTTTGTATTGAGTTTTAAATGCCCAAAACCGCTGAACTACATTCAATTCTACTACTTCGTCTATGCATAGCGCATCATATGTAAGGCCGCAGTTTATTTTTATATTGGAAAATCTTGGGTAATTGCATTCTTTATTTTAAGAATATGTATGTAGATTTGAGATATATTGCAGAACTTGATACATCAGTCTAGCTAGCCTATCTAGCAGACATTCATCCTTAGCTACACGGTCTGGTGCACACAGCTTATCGGCAAGCCTCAGGATAATTGTACGCTCCAAACATTCAGGAATGAAATTCAGTGATACACGATGAAGGTGATAGCGGCGGGTTTCCTAAAACTGGAACGAAATCTGTTTGCACGGCGCTGCGAATTTTGGGATATACTGTCTATGATTTCGAAGAAAACGCTACCTATTTAGCCGATGAATGGGCTCAGGTTTTACATCATGGATGGACAACAGAACATTTCGGAAAATGTATAAAGATATTGACGCTGTAACTGACTTCCCGGCGTGTTGTTTCTGGGAAGAAATCTATAAAGCTTTTCCAGATTCAAAGGTTTGTAGACGTATACTAGATAACTAGGACGTTATTATAATGTTGTGATCTTATTATCAAGAACGCTGATGTGAACTGAGTGTCGCTCGATGTATTAGGAACGGTTCCACTACATTTGAACCCACGTACATTTGAACCCATGACAATTGCACCTGTATGCTATTTGCACATATGGAATTTTTTTGTTTCACGGATAGTTAAACCCATACTAACCCTAACCCATGGGTTTTAGCACCCGCATATAGATCGAACCCGTGATATACGCATGGGTTCAAATGTACTGGGTTCAAATGTACGGTCACCATTAGGAACAAGATGGCATAGCCAACAGTGATTGCATATAGTTGACACCATTATGGCCTGTCTGATAAGCAAACCAGTCTCCGTATTTCACGCATGGCTGTTATTTGAGAATCACGTTCATAATTCACCGGAATCACGCACTAAGCGTCACTTAATTTTACGATTTTTATTATCGATTTATTTATTAGATAGGAAAAAAGTATGCTTAGTCATGATATGCGTAAGTTTTTTTGTCTAATAATCGGACAAAATATTTCCGAATTCAATTGAATGCGGGTGGTAGGAAGGGTTTATTGTAATAATTGCTTTCTATCTATATTCAGATTATTTTAATGATCAGAGATGATGAAGAATCCTGGTTCATGAGTGCAGCAAATCAAATACGAGAGAGTGAGAGCAAGATAATCGCGCGACTATTCACTTTGATATCTCCAACAGGAAGTAGAATGATGGTCAATTTTAAAAATTATGGTGAGAAATTTTAAATCAGTATAAAGGAACAGCAATTGTCATTTCGGTACAAATTATAGTAGTACTCAACACTTATTTCTTTGAGGATGCATCCAAAAGAAGATATCTTAAAATCATAAACCACTTTACCTTTTATGGATTATTTTGCTTTTAATAATCATCTGTCGTATGTTCCTCCTAGGTAGAATTGCTTTTGGATAAATGATTCATTTTTATGGAAGCCATTTAGTCTGTCGTATCTGAATGAACAGCTGATGAAATTGAAATACAGGGCTCATAACGCATATGTTTTGCAGGTAAATTCACCGATATGTTGTTGATTTATCATGTTATTGGGCATGGAGTGCACAAATGAATTTTTTTCTAATGTTGTTAGTTTCTATGCTGTTTTTGTAATTGTGACCAAATATTAGCTTCCCAACTTTCAAAATGCCAGTTTTCAAAATGGAAGTTTGTTCTTCAAAACAATTACTTTTGCAGCAAATCAATGTTTTTCCTAAATTCCCTGGTAACATTTTTTTATTCGGAATTCTGCTGTCTTTTGAATGTCTGTTACGAGAATTTTGTTATTCGATTTGTATTGTGGTTATAGCTATTGCAAATATCTTTTTCTGCTCAAACCGTTCAGCTTTTTTCATGTTGTAACTACGTAGAAATTTGAATGATATTCAAACCGATTCAGAATGCTCCTCCGGAAAGCTTCTCGTATTCAAGTGTTCAGAAGGATGGGAACCTTTGTGCAAGTTTCTAGATGTTCCGATGCCTGATTTGCCGTTCCCGCACAAAAACAAAGGTGCGACCCTAACGAACGAGATTTTAGAAGGGAATCCATTTGTACAAAAGATGAAAAAGGAAGTACAAATAGCACTATTCGTAATAGTATTTGTACCGCTATTGTAGTGTATTTCTTTTTCATCAGTTAGATAGTTAATAACAGTTCTAATTTGATATAATAAGAGCGATTGATTTGTCGACATGCTCATAATAAAAAATAACAATGAGTCATCATCTGGCGCTAGTTTTGATTGGGAAAACGCATAGACCAAAATATATGTATTGACGACTACTTTAGACTTGAATTAACGCATTCATGACACATAAAACTTTATAGTTATAGTTTAATGAGGAACGAAATTTCTCGTTACTCGGAACCACGCGAAGTGCTAACAAAATACAATGAACAAACACTTACGTTAGAATAACATTTGTCACAGTTCTGGCCTTTTTACTGTGGTTGGTAAATCGAATACTCAAGACTCCGGATTGCTATTTCAAAACGCAGCTACCCTTGAGCCTTTCCCGACGAAATTTGAGAGAAATGTATTTTGTCTCACACCTCGTGGATGTTCGGATTTCATAATGTAAGACAATAATCATACCCGACAAAACAGCACTGAATCAAAGACCTGCACAATAAACATATGAAAAAATGTTGACATAACATAAACATGGACATTTTAGTCTGTGACACATTGCAATTGTATTGGCGTTTGGAGTACAGGGACATTGCAGAATACACTAAGACGTAATCTCAGCAAATTTATGCTGTGATGGTCCACATTCCCGGAAAAACTTGATGTTAGAAATGTTTTTCAAAATTCTGTTTGTATTGAGTTTTAAATGCCCAAAACCGCTGAACTACATTCAATTCTACTACTTCGTCTATGCATAGCGCATCATATGTAAGGCCGCAGTTTATTTTTATATTGGAAAATCTTGGGTAATTGCATTCTTTATTTTAAGAATATGTATGTAGATTTGAGATATATTGCAGAACTTGATACATCAGTCTAGCTAGCCTATCTAGCAGACATTCATCGTTAGCTACACGGTCTGGTGCACACAGCTTATCGGCAAGCCTCAGGATAATTGTACGCTCCAAACATTCAGGAATGAAATTCAGTGATACACGATGAAGGTGATAGCGGCGGGTTTCCTAAAACTGGAACGAAATCTGTTTGCACGGCGCTGCGAATTTTGGGATATACTGTCTATGATTTCGAAGAAAACGCTACCTATTTAGCCGATGAATGGGCTCAGGTTTTACATCATGGATGGACAACAGAACATTTTCGGAAAATGTATAAAGATATTGACGCTGTAACTGACTTCCCGGCGTGTTGTTTCTGGGAAGAAATCTATAAAGCTTTTCCAGATTCAAAGGTTTGTAGACGTATACTAGATAACTAGACGTTATTATAATGTTGTGATCTTATTATCAAGAACGCTGATGTGAACTGAGTGTCGCTCGATGTATTAGGAACGGTTCCACTACATTTGAACCCACGTACATTTGAACCCATGACAATTGCACCTGTATGCTATTGCACATATGGAATTTTTTTTGTTTCACGGATAGTTAAACCCATACTAACCCTAACCCATGGGTTTTAGCACCCGCATATAGATCGAACCCGTGGATATACGCATGGGTTCAAATGTACGTGGGTTCAAATGTACGGTCACCATTAGGAACAAGATGGCATAGCCAACAGTGATTGCATATAGTTGACACCATTATGGCCTGTCTGATAAGCAAACCAGTCTCCGTATTTCACGCATGGGCTGTTATTTGAGAATCACGTTCATAATTCACCGGAATCACGCACTAAGCGTCACTTAATTTTTACGATTTTTATTATCGATTTATTTATTAGATAGGAAAAAAGTATGCTTAGTCATGATATGCGTAAGTTTTTTTGTCTAATAATCGGACAAAATATTTCCGAATTCAATTGAATGCCGGGTAGGAAGGGTTTATTGTAATTAATTGCTTTTCTATCTATATTCAGATTATTTTAATGATCAGAGATGATGAAGAATCCTGGTTCATGAGTGCAGCAAATCAAATACGAGAGAGTGAGAGCAAGATAATCGCGCGACTATTCACTTTGATATCTCCAACAGGAAGTAGAATGATGGTCAATTTTAAAAATTATGGTGAGAAATTTTTAAATCAGTATTAAAGGAACAGTGCAATTGTCATTTCGGTACAAATTATAGTAGTACTCAACACTTATGTTCTTTGAGGATGCATCCAAAAAGAAATTTATTCTTAAAATCATAAATCACTTTTCCCTTTTATGGATTATTTTGCCTTTTAATAATCATCTGTCGTATTGTTCCTCCTAGGTAGAATTGCTTTTGGGATAAATGATTCATTTTTATGGAAGCCATTTAGTCTGTCGTATCTGAATGAACAGCTGATGAAATTGAAATACAGGGCTCATAACGCATATGTTTTGCAGGTAAATTCACCGATATGTTGTTGATTTATCATGTTATTGGGCATGGAGTGCACAAATGAATTTTTTTCTAATGTTGTTAGTTTCTATGCTGTTTTTGTAATTGTGACCAAATATTAGCTTCCCAACTTTCAAAATGCCAGTTTTCAAAATGGAAGTTTGTTCTTCAAAACAATTACTTTTGCAGCAAATCAATGTTTTTCCTAAATTCCCTGGTAACATTTTTTTATTCGGAATTCTGCTGTCTTTTGAATGTCTGTTACGAGAATTTTGTTATTCGATTTGTATTGTGGTTATAGCTATTGCAAATATCTTTTTCTGCTCAAACCGTTCAGCTTTTTTCATGTTGTAACTACGTAGAAATTTGAATGATATTCAAACCGATTCAGAATGCTCCTCCGGAAGAGCTTCTCGTATTCAAGTGTTCAGAAGGATGGGAACCTTTGTGCAAGTTTCTAGATGTTCCGGTGCCTGATTTGCCGTTCCCGCACAAAAACAAAGGTGCAACCCTAACGAACGAGATTTTAGAAGGGAATCCATTTGTACAAAAGATGAAAAAGGAAGTACAAATGGCACTATTCGTAATAGTGATTTGTACCGCTATTGTAGTGTATTTCTTTTTCATCAGTAAGATAGTTAATAACAGTTCTAATTTGATATAATAAGAGCGATTGATTTGTCGACATGCTCATAATAAAAAATACGAATGAGTCATCATCTGGCGATAGTTTTGATTGGGAAAACGCATAGACCAAAATATATGGATTGACGACTACTTTAGAATTGAATTAACGCATTCATGACACATAAAACTTTATAGTTATAGGTTAATGAGGAACGAAATTTCCCGTTACTCGGAACCACGCGAAGTGCTAACAAAATACAATGAACAAACACTTACGTTTTCTGGTCTTTTTACTGTGGTTGGTAAATCGAATACTCAAGATTCCGGATTGCTATTTCAAAACGCAGCTACCCTTGAGCCTTTCCCGACGAAATTTGAGAGAAATGTATTTTGTCTCACACCTCGTGGATGTTCGGATTTCATAATGTAAGACAATAATCATACCCGACAAAACAGCACTGAATCAAAGACCTGCACAACAAACATATAAAAAAATATTGACATAACATAAACACGGACATTTTAGTCTGTGACACATTGCAATTGTTTTAGCGTTTGGAGTACAAGGACATTGCAGAATAGACTAAAACCCGGTGTGTAATGAAACTTATCTCCATGTGGCACAAAAAAAACGAATTAATAATTTGAAGGTGTTGCATTTTCTGGTGGAATTTTCATCCAAATTTAGCTGTGCTGTAAATATCCATGGATTATAATATCGCGGAATTTTTTCAATCGGTGCTGGACTTTTCTTGTTTATACCGTGACTTATATTAAATGAAAGCGTGAATTAGCTAGTCAGGTACTCGTTTAAGATGCTCTGGATTTTATTAAATGCTGAATCTGTGAAAGCGGCGATGTGACTAGCGACCTCGATGGTTATAGAGTATTTTACGCATTTATTTCGGAAAGACAGAAAGTTGATAAAATAGCTAAATCATGTAGCGAATCATTATCTTTTGTTAACCGTCGTTCTGGGTATAGCTATTTCCAAGACACTTGACCGTATTTTCACCCCACAGGATTAACAAGAGAGCGATGCTTAAATATATATACACGAAGATCACAACCAAATATGCAATCTGTCGCAGCAGACTACCGGTACCGCAATGTTCACGACTTCACCTGACAACCAGATCAGTGAACCGCCACAAGGTGCGCAATTTTGATGACGTCATCGCACCCAAATAAACGAATCTCATAGAGCCCACTGAAATTTTTAAAATATAATGAAAGGTATTCTGGCGAAAAGTACAATCTGTAACCACTAAAATTTTCAAAGCAATTGGTCCACTAGTTAATGAAAAGAAAAAATTTTCACAAGAAGAAGATAGAAAAAAGAAATGTATATGTATCCATATGTACACTTCATGTCTAATAAGAAAAGACGAGTACCGGCATACAATGTCTGCGCTAGATGTGAGATTGAGCTCAAAAATTCCAGCTTGGCCCGACCCGGGCCCGTGGGTATTAAACCCGAACCGATCCGTGGCGGACTAATTAACTGGATTTGCAGGCCCGAGCCCGAAGCAAACCAGAAATTTCGTATTTTATTTAGAAGTTTTTTGAATTCCACACATCGTTTTAGTATATCTTTTTTATAAACATATATTGATGTAAAAAAAAGTCAGCGATAGAGATGCCCGACCCGACCCGCACGCACGCCAATCTCTGCAAATCGTTATACACACAAAAGCGTTATAAGTAAGTAAAACAATAGGACAATATTAAATATGGCAAGTCGCTCGGCAAACAAGACGTAATGCAATCAAAAATGTCAAGTTTTGCTCAAGTACTTCATGTTGGAAATGGTTCGTTTACGGCAGGGCTTCCCAACATGCTCCAGGTTGACCCTCATTGGTCCACAGCGCGATTCCACGGGGTTCACTGATGAAGTTATATTAAATGAGTACTTTTTCTGAAGATATTGCACTTCTCATATGTTGTTGGATGAACTGATATAAACAAAAAAGCACTTGTTAGATTAGTGCTTAGTGTATTAGTGTTAGTGGATTAGACTGTATCTAACTGAAAAATATCAGAAAAATAATGGTAAAATCAGGATACTAAATGTTTATTCATTGTTTTGTAACCATATTTTTACTGCTTTTTAAATCAAATTTGAATGTTAGAATAAAACTGTTATTCAAGAATGGTGCTGAGCAATAATCTTTTTCGTTTTAAGTTATTTTCTCCAATAAAATGTTACGAAGATCCGTTTGAATCTGGAAACCACAATCGAAAATTCTGTTAGTAGTTTATTGCCCGTGTATGTTTAGATTATTTTAATGGTCAGAAATGATGAAGAATCCTGGTTCAAAAATTTAGCAAATCAAATACGAGAGAGTGAGAGCAAGATGATCTTGCGACTATCTACTTGAATATATCCTACGGGCATAGAATAATGGCTAATTTTAAGAATATCGGTAAGAAGTGTTTTCAAATCTGGTAGTGTTCATTTTGGACGAATTCATCTGGCGATAGACATTAGGTCCTATATCTCGACAACGTAACGTTAAAATCTTCTTCAACTTTTGCGTGGTTTCTTCTTCATTATATAGCCTATCTTAAACATAAGTTGTTTTGTTCCCTTTAGATAAAATTTCGGAGCTCCAGAAGTATTTGCACCAAGATGGCGCACATCTTAAACATAGTATGTGTACCAGGTTAGGGTTCAGGCTGTGCGCCATCTTGATGCACATACTTCGGGAGCGCCAGAATTTCTTATGGGATAAATGACTTATTTTTAATGAAGCCCTTTAGTTCTTCACATTTGAATAAAGAGCCGATGAAGGTAAAATAGCAGGGCTCACAACGCATATGTTTTGCGGGTGAGTTTATAAGCCTGCACATGTTAGTGAATTGTCATGCTATTGGGTACGAAGTAGACCTACAAATTGTTTGCTAAATTGCCGTATTTTGTTGTTGTTGTTGTAATACAACACCTCCCCGACCCTTAAACCCAGGAAAATTCTCAATATACTTCACCATTCTGAATATTCAACTATCTACCATAAAAAGTACTGGTAGCTAATTCTAGCTATTGAGAATTTCAATTGTATTGTCACCGGTGGCAATTTGGTGTTTACCCAATGTTACAGAGGTAAGAGAGGAAGCCGATGCTCGGAAATAATTCATTGCGTGCAATCGCCTTCAAATACCGGTGCGAGAAGAGTCTTCTATACGGCTTTTATTAATATATTTTTATTTTTGAATTCAACTAGGATCCCTGGCGAACGTAGTCCTACCCGAATTCTGTTGTGCTATTTTTTGAATATCTACCAATTTGCTACGATGCGTTTATAATGATCGCGTAAAATTTAGGCTTCACATTAAACTGCTCGAAGTTTTAAACAGTTCTCCGCCTTGGCGGTCGGCAGAACTATTTTAGCATACATTTTCAAGTTGATTGGCTTGTTCACATGCTTTTCATGAATTTTTATGAGAATATAGCGAACCACAAGATTTCGTTTTGAAAAAATAGAAAGGCGAAAATTTAGGCTCAATCAGAATGAGTAAAACAAATTAATCTTTTTGGATGTAGTTTCATCATGTTTTCCAAAAATAAAGACTGCAAATTCCAAATTGTCATATCTGTTTCTTAATACTTTTGTATATATATATATATATATTATTGCATGATACTATCCATATATGCAAAATTGGTGCCAAAAAATTTAGATTTACTGTTTTTAATCGCAGGAGTGCGTTCCTACGGATTAAATTGGGTTTGATGTCGCAGCTTTGCACTAAAATGACTTTATGGAACATTTGCAAGTGGAAACAATTGTGCGGGCATCTAGCCTCATTGTTCTATAAGAATACACAATTAACTACGGTATTTGTGATCAATTTTACATCCTTGACCTAAACATTATGGAAATTTAAATAAATAAAATGTTTAGTGAAAATTTCAATTCGGCAGTTTCAACAACTTCTTCAAGTGTATCGTTAGTGACTTCGGACACTCCATCAGCCGCATAAGAGGGTACTACTTACGTAATAGCTAAACAAAAAATCATGCCATCGATGTGGTTACGACTAATCAAGTAGGCCTAACACGACCGTGGATCCTTGTGAAGTCAAAGGTGATCATTGTTCAATTGCCACTTCCGGACGAAATTGCGTCCAAATAGAAACGTAGTTGTGGTGTTGAGATTTAAAATCCGCACTCATCCAAGTTGAGACTACACACCAACACTTAGAAACTGGCCAGTTAAACAAAGTTGAGCGAGCAAAACGTACTTGTATCTTGATTTCGAAGTCAGATCAGAAGAAAATGAATTTTGTCCTTCCATGGAAATAAGTTTTGTAGTTTCTTTGGATAAATTTGGTATACGTTCAATCTTTTCTGTGTATAATAGGTGTATGAAAAAAAATATTTTTAGAGCGTTGTATAACTGTGTCCGTAAGTTTCCTAATCTGAATGAATGTTTATGAAAAGCCGAACAGTGAATATGGAGGCGCAAATACATCTACATCTTGATGTGTAGCACCAAAAGCTATTCTTATTGCGTTAAACATTTTTTCGCATATTTTTGATAGATTTAAGAAAAGCTACTAATACGATATAGTCTTAAAAATATTTTTAATTAGAATCAATGCGAGAATTATTTTTGTTTCATAAAATAAGGTGAAAATTCCAATTGATATAAAAAAGTTTTTTCAATAGTGAATTATATGATTGTAATTCGTTCAACATATTTATGTTGATTCATTCAGCGTTTATCAATACATAAAAAAGTTACAGTAAAATGAAAAATTCAAATGAATCGAAAACAAGTGATGATATTTTGGCAATGGACTCAAACTCATCTGATATATTGTTCAAACCTCGACTAGGGTTGGGCTCGACGGATAACGAAAATATTGCTCTTCGGAGAAATCACCGCGAACTAGAATTGCTTTGCAGAAAACAGAAAATGCTCGGAATTGAAAAAGAATATGTAATGAAAATCATTGACCTGAACTCAAAAAGTACACAGGTACACAGTATTTATTGTTTTTAATTGAATCAACATTATATATAAACATTTTGCAAATAACATGCAAAAATATATTATACTATACAACAAAAATTGTTACATCGATTTCACATACCACATCAAAATTTGGAGAAACTCCGAACAAATATGTAGTGAAGAAACATAAACATAATAACGTAGTCTTCCATATTTGCAAATTGAAACAGCATTCAGCTATTTTATTTCTTGTATACAAAGATTCATTAGATATTTGCTATTTTGGTTTATTCCGTTATGTCTCAGTAGAAAGAAAACCTTATTACCAAGTCATTATTTAAACAATGTAAAAGAATCCGAAGTGTTTTCGAGGTCTACAACATAACGCTACTGTCCAGGTAAATTATAGAAGACTGACAAAAAAGGTGAGTCGTATCAAGTCTCATTTAACTGAAGATGAAATAAAAGAGATGGAGAACGACGTTATGAAAAAAGAATTTGCAGACAAATATAGAAAGATTTTGCATCAGGTAAGAGACTTTTTTCGTTTTATAAACGAGAAAAAAACCTCATAGTGGGAAAAATATGATAGAAGTAAAAATGGGTACTTTATTTTCTTTATCTCAACAGACAATGGATGACCCAGTACAAGAAACTGGAAAAATCGAGAAGAATGGGAAAGAAAACGATGAGGTAGATAAAGATGATTCAGTTCTCCCAACGGTCGCCGAACAAGATGAAACGGACATTTCTGAAAAAGTTTACCAAACTTCAACTGAGAGGTATATTTTGATTTGATGTCCCATCAATAAAAATGCGAAATCAATATTTCCAGCAATAAATATTGATAACCTAATGACAATATGATCAACACCATCTGCATGCAGGCAAACGAAAATTTTATCGAAAGTATCAAATCAGTATTATCAGTATATGCTGAGTTAGTTTAAATCAATTTATAAAAAAATGAATTTATATACACCACTTTTCTTATTTATTCAGTCTCAACGAGTAATGAAATATGCTGTGATTAGTAAAGGAATAGTCCATTTTTTGACTTTCTAACAATGAGAGTGAATCAATAAGTTCATTTCTGAATAAAAATTGAAAACCTTTTTAAGATACTTCTGTGTTCTTTATTAACAGAGGGAGGAAAAATTACAGTCAAACTTCGCAAGGTCAAAGAACATCGTCAAGCAATGATTTGTTTAACAAAAATGATACAAAAAGACCTAAAACCTGTCCAAATTTGGGAGAGAAACCAGGTAAGTAGGCCTATGCATTGGTCCATTGAAGGCACTCTGGGTGACAATAAACTTTGATATTTTTCATGAGGTATTCTGATTGTAAATATTTTGCGATTCTCTCTGTTACATATACACTATACCAGACACAATCCTCGAAATCCAAATTGAAGCCGACAATGTTATCGGCTGAAGCGTCGTTTGACATTTTTCATATATACAATAAACTTCATATATATATTGGAGATTTAAGAAAAAAAAAAAAATGGAGATTTAAGATACGATAACTCGAAATACTGAGGGTGGCTGTTATCTAGCGTGAGGCAGGTTTGAAACAATTGATGTCAACTGCCCAGTACTGGAGTTAACCAATGCGTCCAATTATCACATTCTTAGGCTATATGTAATTTAAAGTAAACCTATAAATAGCTTTCTGTTTGAGTCATTTATTCAAAATATGGATGAAGCAGTGTTACGAAAATTTTGACAACAGAAATTTGTAAAAAATATATTAAATATATTATTTATCATTTCCCAAATATATTTGAGAGTTGAATATTGCAGGAGACGAAGATCCTGATTCGGCCGATTTGGAGGAAATAATACCCAGCCTTGAAAGTCTTCTCGATCAGTTGCACAATGTAAAGCCTCAACAATTTTACGAAAATCAAAGAAAACTTAAACTCTATGATATTCGATTATTACATGAAGAATTAGAAGCAAAAAAGAAAACACTTTTTCGCAATGTAGATGCGATCATTAATTGGTTTGTATATTTATTTATAACTAAAAATTGAAAAAAAAATCATGATAATTATCGTTTAACATGACAACTGTTATATTTAACAAATTAGCGTAGAATTTTTTTTTTAAAGTTGTATAAATAAGTATTAATTTTTTTAGGGATAAGAAGAAAGATGAAGCAGCGGAAGAAGAAGAAGCGAGGAGAAAACAGGAAGAAGAAGAAAATAAGAAACCAAAGAAGAGAAGAACAACATTCATGAGATCAGTTTTACGAAACTTTTCCATGGAACTTATGATGAAGACAATGCAGCATGGCTGGACGGACTTGGGGAAATGCAGGTTAGTTGAATTTCGAAACTAAAAATTTCCTGAAATAAGTTGATCAAAACACGGAGAGGTATTTTTACTGAAAAAAATTATGGCTGAATTCAGTCAATATGCTTCATTACTGGCTGTATTTTGAACAACCGCGCCTAATAGGATTGAAAATTATCTCTTTGCTTGTAATCAAGTAAGGTTTTTGTTTTTTTCAAACGGCTATCAACTTCATTTCGTAAGCTCATCACGCCTAAATTTAGCTCATAGCCTGAATTTAAAAACAGGTTGAGGATCTCAAAACTCCTAATAAAATGTCATAGTATCAGAAAATGTGGCGTTTTTAGTCGGTTTGATATGATCTAGTGACAGACCCTTCGATACTCTAACGCTTACAATCCTAATTAAAAATCCGTCTAACAATGCTTGATTACGAAATTCAGCGGTATAGGTAATATCCGCGGTGAAGTCAACTTGATTCTACACTCATGTATTTTACAATGTTCCCATGTTTTCACATATATCCAGGTATCTGCGTAAAAGACCAGGCGATGATGACGAAGGAGAGGGCACTAATACATTAGCAGCAGAAATGAGAATTAAGATATCACATGATGTAGATGAAGAGAATCCTCCTCCCCCTCGTCCTAAAATTGAACCAGGATTTGGGCCGGATGGGAAAATGATTAGAACGGCGGATTTGTTGGGTCTCAAGTCATACGATTAGCAATAAGAACTAAACTAAATTAGATTATGATAGTTAGAGCAAGATCTAATCATTCGACACATAGTTTATGTACTTTTATAGTCTCAAATTGTCCCTATTATTGCAGAGGTATGAAGATTTTCCCAGGATACACTAACATTAGTACAATTTTGAATTCAAAATTTCATTTTTTTTTCCGGCATTATATTGATTTTTTTTTTTCAACATTCGCCAAAGTTTATTCACCTAATGTTGCTATTATTTTTTATAATTTTCAAATTTGAAGTTCGATGTTGCTCGCAATGGTTGGGTATACAATTTTTACTAGGCAAAATTGTCTAAATTATATCATTCATTAAAAAACGATCTATGGGGTATAAAATACCAAATCTTATCAGTTTTGTGTTTCAGACAAAAATACTTTCAAAGACAGTCGTTTTTTATCGTTATACATACTTTATTTAAATGACATGTACAGTTGCTTCAACTAATAAATTAGTAATAAAACAAGATCATATTGCTATGAGAAAGCTGAAAAAGTTGGATAATAAAATATATAAATATGTTAATACCACAATATGATTGTGTATTTCAGTTGATTTACGAACAATAATGATTCGCATAAGTCACGCATTTAAGGATACAACTGTTGAATATTTGACCCTATTCAATCAATCAATCGTTTACTTGTCATCACAACACACAAGTATTTAGAAAACTGATATATACAGCAAATAAATATACTAATTTTGTTAATCATGTGACAGGAGCCGCGAAGGACCTAGTGAGGTCTTCATGTAGCGACACTTACAACGCAGATACAGGTTGCATGGTATGGGAATTAACTGGATGAAGCACAACTACTGAATACCAATAGTTTCGACAGTAAATATATTTGAAACTGTTACGCAGATTAACCAAAATATGCAACGACTATCTCGGATAAATTCATTGTAAAACATAAAATGGGAGGAGGCCAAAATAAAAAAATCTAAAAAAAGGGCATTGTGGAAAAGGCAAAATGTAAAATTAAAAAAAGGCAAACAATACGCACGAAAATATTTATAACGAATGAACTTTTGAAGACTTGTATACCAAATGCAAAGAGAGAAATTACCAGACTCTATAAGTTTACAGCGAAGACTCTATTGCAAACAATCGGCATGCTATTAAAATGTCTGCAATAAAGCAAATAAAATACGACGGGAAGAAAACGATCATGAAATTTGTAAAAAAAAAACAGTACCGGTAGATTAACTTACCGTAATAAACTATTAATGAGACGGATATTCTAGAATTGGACTAAAATAAAGAAACGCATATAGATTTAGACACATATTTTGAGCATTACTTGCGTAATATCTACATTGATGATAAATTCAATGAGAATTTGCATAGGGTGTTTCGTTTCGATAGTAAACTGAAATAGCAGTCAAGACGCAAAAACTGGCAAATGCGAAAACGTTAGTTTCATCTCTTTCTTATTTTTGGTGTCGAAACGAATAAAAAAATCCAGCTGCTGCCACTCACTACAACATTTGGGCACATTAGCCTACCTAGGTGATTACTTGTTTTTATCGTTGAAATTCGGAAGGTTTCATAAATCCAAATAGTTCATAATCCTTTTTATAAGTTTGATAGAGTGATTCCACTAAAATTGGGGATACGTCGGCAAAATATTTCTGCACCTTAGCATTGTCAGTGAAACTGTTGAAAGAAGGAGGAAAAGTCAGATTTTTGAATCCAAATTTATTTATTATAAAGGCCATATCGTCATCAATAGTGTCTACATGAACAATATAGTCGTATTGGATTTCACATGGGGAACATAGTCTATGGAAATAATTCCAGTGTTGGTCTAGTTGCGCATTCGACTTGGGGTCTACCAAATACGAAACGAAATCATTCAATGTTATAACAGGTGCACCGTCCATTTCTTCTCCGTGCCCTCCGCCATATTTTTTGTGAATGTTTTTAGCTGCACCAGCGTAACCATCACCTCTTTTATTGTTCTCCAGTTTGTTACGATATGCAGAAAGCAGGCGACTAAATGGTTCTCGAACAATGACAACTTTGCTGTATGTACTCATTCTTCGAGCAATCTCGTCGATATTTCGTATGCGTCTTGCAGAAAGATGTCTTTCTATGTATGAGTGAAGTAGCTCGAATTTCTGTAACAGTATCCATTTCTGACTCTTTGATGAGGTCGTCTGCTGCTGCCAGAAACTTCGCTTGACTGCGCGTGGCACATTTTGGTATTTGACAGAATAGAACCTTCAAACATTACATTTTTTTCCAAATGGTGACATATCGTACTTATAAATAGCAAGGAGTAATTTTCCGTAAAATGTTTTTCCTTGTCGATCAATTTATTTTTTATTATTATTTCTTTTATTAAATTCTCATAATTTGTTTATTAAATATTTATATTTCAATATCAACTTATATATTTGTTTTGGTGCTCCCGAAGTATGCGAACCAAGATGGCGGACATCGAATGTAACATGGGTAACAGGTTAGGGTTAGGCGATACTTTTTTTCCAATTTTCCTTATTTTAGTACTATTATCAGTTCGAAGACTAGCCAAGAGCCCCTCGTAGTATTTATACCTGAAATTATGGCCTAACCCTAACCTAGTACACATATTACATTCCAATGTCCGCCATCTTGGTTCGCATACTTCAGGAGCCCCTTTGTTTTATTATTATTTGATCATTATACATAGTATAATAGAAGCCTTGAAAATGTTACCCCCCGATTTATAGGACACAAAGTAAAGGTAAAATTTCAGTTTATAAGTGGAGAAAAATGAAAAGCCGTTTTTGTTTTCAAAAATAGAGCATACTTGCAAGACGTCTTAATGGCTAAGCAAATTCGTCAGTCCAATGACATATTTTACATGAAATTGGATGCAAAATAAGATATAATTTGAAATAACTTGCAATAGAATACACATTTTAACTAGAAAGAAAAACTTAGTTAGAAGAAATAAATGAAATCATATTGCATAAGAATAAAATGTAAATATTATGTTGTTAACGAGGGCCCTAATTTCGAATGAGTCCTCTGATCACACCTTGCTGCTACTAGCGATGGCAAAGAAATAGTTTATGTTTTGTCGTTTAAATTCCAAGCATCTTTATGTTTATAGGATATTATTTTTCCAAAAGTGTATCAGTATCAATAATCAGTACGCAATAATTAAAGTGGCAATTATCAGACTAGATATTAATATTATAAATAACTCTTAGATACATTGTTCGAGAACAGTAGTTCCTAATGCAAAACACTGTATTAGTATTTAACATTAAGTTTTGTGCAAAACAGACCTGTTAATACTTCGATATTTTGTAAATGTCTCACCTTAAACTCGTCAGAAAAGAATAAGCTTGTCTTTAGAAATGGATTTTTTACATACGTCTCTTCAGAAGAGGATGGCCTATTTTTCGAATATTTACGACAAGCACTGAGCATCATTTCACGACGAAACTTCATACTTCCCTCTTGAAAAAAAAACTTTTTTAAGTAAGTGCAAGGCTCTTATATTATATAAAGCATGAAGCAAATACCTGCTTGATATGTGGTGGAATTATGGTCGAGCTGGGACCTGTAGATTTTATATCTCTCCGGGGTACCACTCTCGATTCTCTGTATATTATATAAAATGTGATTTCTTTAATGAAATGAATCTATATCACAATAAAATTATCATGAAATAGTAGTTAGTTATTTGTATCAGATAATATTTGTTTTTTTATTCCGGAGAATAATTAATGACGAGCATTAAACCATCTTCTCTATTATCTTGTTGGTTCAGGGATATTTGAATGACTATTATCGTTCTCTAAACACTGTGTGTGTACAGTGCACTATAATGCTTGTAGGCAAACCAGAATTGGTGATTTGTATAGCTTATGGTTATGGCAAATCTCAAAAGTCATAATCGCTGCAAAATTATCGATTTTCAATGACAGTAAAGAGTCAGATAATTTATGTTGACATTCAACGAGTTCTATTCTTACGTTACTGTAATACCTACTTTAGTGACATGATTTTGGTATATATATCAGAAAAAGAAAAAGCAAGAGAACGAAATTTTTTTTTATACAGTGCCGGACTTGTTAACCAATGAATGGCGAAAAAAAACGATCTACACTCAATATATTTGCATTCAAAGTTTAGCATACGTTTCATTACAAAGTAAACGAATTCCTGAAAATTACTCAGAACACCTAATTTGGAGTATTGTTGCTATTGCTTATTTTCAAGATCAACTGGCTGCCGCAACTGACTGTCAGTAACATTTGAGCCAAATTTTGAATAAATATTGTGTGAAGGTGTTTCCTAAATCTCATATAAATTTGCGCCCATAGATTGAAATAAAAAAAAAAAACAGTAAAAGTTTGGATGAATTTTTGCGTATTTCGTAAGACTGAGGAAGGAAAATAAAATGCAAAAACTTTTGAAAGTCTCGTTCAGTCTTTGGGTACGTCATATTTTGAATTGAGTGCTCTACTATTTGCGGAGAAAAAAACTCAGAATACCTTCTGTATCCGTTGAAAAGTTCGTCCGATCAAGTATAACCCCAAAAGAAGTGCAGCAGTAATCAGTAACACTTTATGTGCACGTAGTCCCATAACTTTTTGCACAAAATTTCCTAGAAAATATGTTCTCGCGTATAATATTTTTTAAACAAATCGATTTAAATATTCATTATCTGAAAAAGATGATTTAACAAATAATAAAACTTTTGAGTGAAAATACCTGAAAAATGTCTGTTTACAGCCCCATCCAAGATGTAGTCAGTTCGTTTTAATGATAAATAGTCTAGTTATTGGTCTCCAATGGTTCTTTAATATAATCTCTGGTAAGCAATGTTAGTTGGTTAATTCGTACGGTACTCACTGTCAATATCAGTAGTTTCATAACTCTAAATTTTCGAATGTTTTAAATTAGATATTAGAACTCTGGAAGTCTCTGCTCGATATCCAGCTTTGGTTCCCGCGACCCAGTAAAATCGTGTAATTCTCTCGTAATTTGTGTTCGATTGATTTTTTACTAGTTGGAATAAATAAATCCGACTTGACTACATCTTAGTAGTAGGATTAAAACTTGAAAAAAAGTCGAAGGCAGTAATCAGTGCCGGATTTACCATTCGGAAAGGTAGGCTGAAGCCTAGGGGTCTCAAGCCTCGTCATGCAGTTTTAAACTACAGTATTATGCTTTCAAACAAATTCCACATACTATCCAATCCACTTGGGTGATTTGATTTTGTATTCAGGCAATTTCCAATTTTATTTAAGACGCCATTATGCATTTTCGGGAAATGGATCTCGATTATGACGTCATAATGGATGAAAGGAATTTGTTATATACTGTATTTCCCGACGATTAAGTCTACCCGGTAAATAAGACGAGGCCCGTTTTTAAGCCTGAAAAAAAAAATGGGCTTTCGCATATAACCTGCAAATATCCTATAATGACTTTTTTGTAGCCTAATATTCAATCCATAACAACTACGAGAATTCAAACAGTCTTTCAATTTCAATCTAATTGTGTTCAACCTAACTTGCGATTGCGTCCACAATATAAGAACATTTCCATATAAGAAAACAACACGTTAAGAATGAGGACGTGGGGATGCTATCTCCGATGCTATTTATTATTCTATGGTACGAATTGAATATTAATGCGACACCAAAAAAATTATCATACTCGCCTAATAAGACGATCCCCCCTAAATCAGGCCAAAAATTTGGGTTCAGAAAAACGACTTATTTTCCGGGAAATACGGTAATTGTTAAAGGGGATCTCACAAATCGCATAGCATATGCCTACGGGTCTCTCATCGTCTTAATCCGGCCCTGGCGGTAAATATATACTTGGAATGGAAAATGAGTTTTAGATCACTATGCAGCGTACTAAAAACGATTTCATAAAAAATAAAACTTATTTTTATTTAAAAAAATTTCTTACTATTTCGTTTACCTTAGAGATATCTCATTTTTTTCGGCAACGATGTATTTTGTACGTACGTTTGCATTACGCACAAAAGATTTCATAGGTAATGTAACCAATATTTTGAAACAGTCACTTGTATGAAATTAAGCAATCGAATACTACTATATGCTCGGCGATTTTTTTTTCACACACAATACTGGATACGATTTTCGATTATGGTCTACAATTTGGTACTACCAGTAGTCAAAGAGAAACGCGATTTTTTAACAATAAAACTATAAAAAAGAAGAATTCTAGCAATAGCAAATGAACAAAACGATCCCAAGGTCCGCTTCGTATTTAATTACCATTTGCTTTTCCATAAAAGAATGTGCAAATTTCAACTGGTATAGACTGCTAAAAAATGCTTCCCTGATACCTTTATAGATTACCAAATCTGATACGGACGCGAAATCGCAATCTTGAGACGCAAAATCCTGAATGCTATACTTCAAGATTCTACTATTTCAAAGGTATATATATAGTCAACTGAATCCAATCTTAGCTCTTAGTTATTTGTTCTAAAATGCAAGTTCGGTTACCCCAAATTACCCTATAAATTGGTCTGTTAGCTTTTTTAGTCAACTGAGTTTTATTTTATTACCTCGTGCTTGACTCAGAAAGAGATGGTTAAATCCAATTTATGACATACGTCCGGGTACATAAAAATTTCATAGGTGAAGATAGTAACAACACTAAAGATTGTATAATATGTTACATTTCTTATACGCTCTACCTGGTTTTTGCCAGCAGCTGCCATGTTCATTTTGTAAGGTCATCATGCTCAAATTTAGCTCATACCCTGAATTCAAAGACAAGTTAATAATATCAAAACTTCAAAACTCTGATATAATGTCATAGTACCAGAAAACATGACCTGTTACATTAGTAGGCTTGGCATGGCCTAATGTTCTACTCTGTCGAAGCGGTAGTGCTTCGGGCCCTAATTAACATGCAATTTTCATCTATTATATTCTGTTGTAGGTAATATCCGCGGTGAAGCCAACTTCATTCTACATTCATGTATTTTACGATGTTTCCCTATTTTCATATTTTATCCAGGTATCTGCGTAAAAGACCGGGCGGTGATGACGAAGGAGAGAGCACTAATACATTAGCAGCAGAAATAAAAATTAAGATATCACATGGGGCAAATAAAGAGAATTCTTCACCTCTTGTTCTAAAATTGAACCAGGATTTGCGCCGGATGGAAAAATGATCAGAACGGCGGATTTTGTTTCATACGATTAGCAAAAAGAGCAATACAGAGTGGAAATGTGATGGTTGGTGATGGCACTAATCATTGAACACATAATTTATGTGCTTTTATTCTGTTTTTTTTTTTTGACATCTTATTGATTTTTTAGTTTAAGGGTTTTCAACATGCGCCAAAGTTTCCCAAATTGTTCCTATTATTTTTTATAACTCTTAAATTTAAAGGTTGATGTTGTTCGCAATTAATGGGTATTCTTTGCTAGGTAATTTGTCTAAATTACACCATTCATTAAAAAACAATCTATGCGGTCTAAAATGACAAATCTGGTAAGTTTCGTATTTCAGACGCAAAAACTTTCAAAGAAGTTTTTTTCTTGATCATTGAACTTACTTTATTTGACTGACATTTATAGTTGCTTAAACTAATAAATTAGTAATAAAACAAGATCATTTTACTATTAAAAAGTTGAAGAAGTCATATGATAAGTTATATAAATATGTTAATAGCACAATATTATTGTGTATTTCACTTGATTTTACGAACAATAATAATTTGCTTAAAAGTATTTTGTTAGAAAACTGATCAATTTTTTTTTCAATTTTTTTTATTTGATTAGAAAGATGTTAAAACCATCCATTCATACCGGAAATATTTTTTGAGCGCCAAAAGTGGATCTTGTTCAAATTTTGGGTTGATTTAACGATTTTTCAAAGTTTTATGACATTTACCTCGTTATGCTATATTTCAACTAGATCCCCTTTTGGGGTCCAAAAATATTTCGGGTATGAATGGATGGTTTTACCACCTTCCCAATCAAATGAAGAAATTGTAAAAAAAACTCGATCAGTTTTCTAAGAAAAAACTTAATAGCTTAGCTTTCAAAAAAATCCAAAAAATCGTTAAATTGACTCGATCTGTATCCTAGCAAAATACTTTTAATGTAACATCAATTTCCCAAAAATAAAAAGAAACGTAAAATCTAATCAAAATTCAAGCACAAACTGCTTTTGGGACTAAGAAAATATCCTGGATGTGAAAGAATAATTGAACATCTGTTCTATTAAGCAATTTAATTTTTAAATATACTTGATGTCAACATACTTGATCATTGCTCTCTTGTATTTACAGTCAACTGTTTTAAGCAATGAATGCGAATGGCATGTAACATCCGTGTGCCTGAAGCTGACAGTTTAACCTATATCTGTGATGAAAGTTAGAGGTGAAATTTGTTTTTAATTGTTAACCACAACCAGGTAACCCTCAAAGATGTATATTATTATTATTAGGTATTATCGTAAAATTTTACCTGAACATTTCAGCGAAATGCTACTCAAAGATTTTAACGACTGGCGCGTTTAAACAGTGTTAAAGTTACGATGAAATGCTACTTAAACATTTAACGCCTGGCGCTTTTTACCAGTATTGAAGTTACGGCACAATGCTACTCAAACATTCAACGGCTGACGCTTTTGAACAGTATGGGGATTACCGCGAAATGTTACTTGAACATTTAACGGCTGACGCTTTTTAACAGTATTTTCAACAACTAATCAAGCCTTTTAACGACTGAGGCCCCCTTGAATTTAATGTTATTGAAAAGCGACAGTTGTTTAAATATATAATACAAAATCAAACTCATTTATTATCAAAATGCAAGTCAACGTTTTCGATGTTCAATCGCTCCTTCTCTGTGGACCAATGTCGAAACGACAGCTTCTTTCATCTCGCTTGTCAGGAATATCTTTTCGATGCTAATCAACGATAAACTTGACAGGCGACTCAGGATATAGGTGTAGGATCCGGAATCGGGGCCTTAGGACTAGCTGCTAGTAACGCAAAGTGGAGAACAAAAACATACTACACATCTTTAACGCTAACAGAGCATAGACTGACAAATAAATTCATGGGCTCATGAAATGGTATTTATTTCCAACAATAAGCTACTTCAAATTAGTATGGAATATCATAATCTGTTTGCCTTTCAAATAAAAAGGCTTTCAATTGCGAATACATCAATTATAATACAGGAATTCGGTTTCCACAGCCAACAGTCATGATTCAAATCGGTAATTGATTTATTGAGAACAACGATGAGTTATCGTTATTATTATCGACAATCACATCTGCTTGTTTACCTAACTGCTTTTTTATTGCTAGCGTTGGCTATCAGAAGGGGGTAATTTCTGTGAGATCAGATGTGGATCAGGATAAATGACATCAAGTATAAAAAGGAATAGAAAAGCAGCTTTGATCGCGCCTGGCACATTAAAAACTATGGGTTAAACCGCAGCAACTAGATGCTTATTTAATGAAATATAAATATTCTATATCACAACGAGTCGCACTTGAAAAAAATTAATAAAGGTCGCAGTATAGTGGTAGCAGAAAATAGCAGTAATATCATTGTGTAGAAAATCAAACATTTCAAAAACTTGAAAACTTTCAAAATTAAAAATTTGAAGATTATTTAAATTGATACAAAATAAAAAGTAAACTAGTCAGACTAATTAGGGTCGGATTCCTCACGGCACAAAAGCACAAGATTCGTCGCAACCGTCGGAAAATTGTAAGCTTGTTTCATATTGTTTGTTTATTTATACGGTTTTCTCGGCGTAGCTTTTGGCCATGACCAGCAGGAAGCCTTGCACAAAAGTGTCTCTCGTATATCTGAAGCATATCAACTTTCAAGTCAATTTTTTAATTCCTTGTGAGATATATCAAATTCATGAACCTGTCAATCTTGTAAGCAGAAGCAATCCACCCAAAATTGTGGCTGTCGACAATAAAGTGAGCGATACCATTATTTCTCTTCTCATGGGTTCCATCATAGAATCATTCGCGATTAATTGCGGTATCCCTTTTCCTTTCTTGTTTTCATGAGGAAATGCCGTTTGAGGTATACTAACTCCAAGAAATTTGCACAGTGACTTCCATCCTTGAGAACATTGGTAAACAAGTAATTGGTCCAGCGGTGCGTTCTGTAGGTAGAATATTATTACCGTATCGTAATAATCATTTGTTGGTTCTTAGATTACGACTACATAAACGTAATACCATTTTTACTTCAGTTTTCAGTATTTTTTTCCATAATATCTCTCAACATCTTAGCGTTGCTACAGAGAGTAAGGTTTGTAGATTTATTTATATATTACGCATGTTTTCTACACTTTTAAACTTACTTCAAAGCAACCAACGAGATGTTCTTCATTCAAAACAAGGGGCTCCCGAAGTAGGCGAACCAAGATGACGGGCATCGGAATGTAATATGTGTACTAGGTTAGGGTTAGGCCATAATTTTAGCTATTAATACTACGGGAGGCTCTTGGCTAGTCTTCGAACTGATAATAGGAGTAAAATAAGGAAAATTGGAAAAAAATTATCGCCTAACCCTAACCTGTTACCCATGTTACGTTCCGATGTCCGCCATCTTGGTTCGCATACTTCGGGAGCACCCAAAACAATCTATATTCTAAAGTCTAAACCCATTCAAACTTCGATCTTACCTGTAATACATGAGCATTATGCTCTCTGAATTTCTTTTTTGAAATCAGTCTGTTCAAACTTGGACTTCCAAACAGCATTCTCCATGGTGTTGGATTTGTAATACCAAATATGATTGGATCTAAGAAGAGTATAGTTTGTATACATAATGATTTGGCAACATTTGTTTTCATTTTTAGGTAAGTACTTTTAGAAAGAACCCCATACGACAACTGAGTGATAATTCTAACCCCATTAAAAAAATAATAGGGCTATATTTGTCAGCAGGTTTTGGCATGTACATATTATTTCAAACCCATGCATTAAATTTGCTTGAAGTTTACAAAAGTCAAATGTGCCAATGTGTCAGTGACTTTTTGGGCACGAAATGAAACTATGGATTGTTTGGTTGTTGTAAAAATAATCGCTTTTCACCCTAACTACTTGCTTTGAAATTTTCAGTGCGGCTAAAGGTTGTTGGTGTCGCTAGTCCTAAATTTTCTATAAATCCTTTTAGATCTGATGTTTCGTTCAAAAATTTCGCTGTTTTATTTTTATCGATTGGAACATATCGATTGGAACATTTTATCGGTTTCATTCCGTAAAGCGTGTCCTCGATTTCAATTTTACAAACTCGTGCTTCGCGAAAGTAGCAATGTCTAGTGTAATGTACTTCTAGTGGGCGTAGTGTAACAATTTTTGCATATGTCATTCCTGGCTTCCACTTGAGAACATCATCCAAACAATGTCACTGTGATGTGTCAACAAAATTATGACTTACAGATGTACAAATCAACTGCAGTCATTGACTTGATATACGTTGGGGAGAAAAATCGCATCATCGTTAGTAAAAGGTTCGATTTATTAACTTCGAATTGGTTATGAACACTTCTATACCAGCTCTCATCATCTCTTGTCATTAGAATGATCTGTTGAATAATAAAGGTCCGTATTGTCATTAACATTCTTACCACTCCTTAATTCTCCAGTTGTTTCAAACGTGCGAAAACAATAAATCCGCAATCTATTCAACAATATCTTACTTACAACGCAAAGCGTTTGTGGGTAGCTTTGGATAGCTGTTAAAGAATAATATTGAACCACATAATAAAACCGTGGTAAAGATTGTGCGGTCTATTTATGGAATTATTATTAATATTATCTTGGGGTAATTTTAGTAAGCACGTAATGGATTATGAAATACGCGACGATGGCATATCGCTGGGATCTTTGACGAGCCCCCGCCAAAAAAACAATCGCGCTATCGTTCAAAAAAAAAAATAGTAATTATCCAACGAGAATATCGGTCGAGGACCGAAGACTTATCGATTGAAAGTTGGGGAATCCCTAAAACGGAAAATGCGGTTTCGATTCATGCGCTTTTACTCCATGGTGACACCGTGTGTCCCATCACTAATTAATTAATAACTCGCTATTTATACGACATAATTCATTCAATTCATCATTGATAGGTTCCTGATCCGAGATATGATGAATGCACATGCAAAATTTGCAGCAGATCCAACCTTGTTTTCGTAAGATATCGCGTGCATCTAACAGACAAACAAACAAACAAACAGACAAATACCTATGAACACACTTACCGATCTTAGATCGAGTAGTAATTAGGGTAAGGGGTAGGAAATAGATTGCGCTGGAAATTTAAACTTCCAAATACTTCTTAACTCGATGGATATTTTCTAATTTGTCATTTTAAAACGTGGCGAGGGCGTTTGTCTCAAATCTCCCATTTTTGCATTATTGGCGGGGGCCTTGTACAAAAGATCTTAATGTTTGTCGACGTGTCAGTCAGTTATGCGATCGTTAAATTGTCATCACGGATAAAAAAAAAGAAATGTACAGGAATCGATACATCATATAAATAAACTGATTATATTATTTGTGTAACAGGAGTCTTCGAGCAGCGACACCTGTATCGCTTGTACTGGTTAATGTAAAAGAATAACTATTGATTATGCAGTAGTTATTATATTGAACATATTTCCAGAAGAACACACAGTTTATTAAACATAAATAACAATCTCGGAGAAAAATCAGTAGGACGGTGGAGTGTCATCAGTGAAATCAAATTTGTCATATTAAATAATTTAATTACCTTGGCATCCGGAAAAGCCTCCAGTATTTCTTCCCAGAAGAAACATGTTGGAGTATCTGTTACAGCGTCTACATTTCTGTACATATTTAGGAAATCTTCTTTAGTCCAGCCTTCGCTGAATACTTTCAGCCATTCGTTTCTCAAAATTGTCACATTCTCGATATAATCGTACACCGTATAACCAAGAATCTTTAGAGCGAGATTAACTGATTTTGTTCTGGTTTTCGGGAAACCGGCGACTATGATTTTCATGGTGTATGTATGTAAATTATTGGAACATTTTGTACACGCTGGTTTATATTTTTAGCAAGTTCGTAGCGGCCTGATGTCGTCAAACCTAATTTTTTAACTTCGTAGTACCCAGTATTTGGTTCTTACACTATTGCACAGATTTCTGACTAGCAACGCTTACAATTTTCCACCGTTTAGTTTCGAGAAATGCGAAGATTGTTAAACATAAAAACTTGCAAGATTCTATATAGCTCATTGATGAGAATAAAAAGAAAACAGTTGTTTTTGATCAATATATAGTCAATGATTTCGATTGCGTTAACATTTAATTTATTATCACTTATCAGCGCGATTGCGTAAAGTTTACCATGTCCGTGTCATTAATTACCAACTTACAGTATCGATTTTAGAATTTTAAAATATTATTAATGCATATAAATATTGACTAATTCACGTGACTATTGCAGCGCACATACAAATGATTTTGCAATATTTTAGTATGGAGTCTGATACATCGTTATGTATATTTTAGAAAACCCCTGACCCAGAACAACTACCAATCAATGCGTGGGGATGATCGGATTAAGATCCATTTATCTCTGTTGTTGTGACAGGCCATTAATTATAAACAAAAAATATGGCTCAAAAAACTGAAAGCACATCTTGACCTAAACACAGTCACATGTACCCTAATTAGATAGCCATTGAAGATGGTTAGTAAGTAATCCAATGATACCGATACAGTCGATTGTCGCTTGACGATGTAATCAGTGAATACAAAACAAAGAAAATATTGCCCAGGTATCGAACAAATTTAACGAATGTTAACTGCAATTTGTCTCAGTCTTCAGCTTTTATGATTCTAATAATACCGGAAATTTTTATTTGCAAAGATGATGCATTAGTGCCTAACGAAATCAACAATTCCCACGAGAAATAGCTTTTAAAATCACTTTCACGATATTTGTATGTGAAATTCTGACCTAAAAACATCAGCCTTACAATATTTTTATGTAATTCTAAAATTAACAAGATCTTTGCTTGATCTAATTTGCTCTTGTCAAAACGAAATAAACAAGTCTCTGATCGGTTAAGACTAGAATAGAATCACAGTCATATAATAGTCAAAATTAGTAGAGATGGGTTGAGATTCGGTTGGCTGGATCAAATATTACAGCAATGTATGCTGTTCGTTTTTCGAGGAAAAACTATTTAAGTTTAATCGTATCTTTTATTAAACGGGGCAACGCAATATTAAGTGTAGTCGAATCCTTCTTTAAGTGGTTTATACAATGAACAGGCAATCCCAGAATTGTAATGCTTAACTTCTGATTAATATATTATATATTGTATGTCAGAGTTCAGATTTAATACAATAGTAATTAGTTAAATATCAACAGAAACAAAAGTTGCTCCATATATAAAAATATCACTTTTACGTCCGACCGCCGTTTGGTGCGCACGTGGCTACTTCGAGCGAAGATTCTACTGGACATGAAGTCGTCTTTTTCATCGTTTCGACCCGCACAGTTTGCTTAAGTTTTCATTGTTTTGCGTTTTACTAAACAAGAAGTGAACCCATTAATTGTTTCGGACTGCACAGTTTGCTGAAGTTTTCATTGTTTTGCGTTTAAAAGTTACCGTTTGTTGTTGTTTTGTTTCATGCCAGAGTGACCAAAATAAAATTGTTTGATTGAAAAAAGAAATCCACACTGATATAGGAATGTCTAAACTTAATCCTCACAACTGTTATTATAAATGAAATTTATTCATTTAAAATCAAAACGAGAATATCGGTCAGAGACCGAAGACTTATCGATCGAAAGTTAGGGGATCCCCAAAACAGCGCTCTTACTCCATAGTGACACCTTGTCTCTGTGACAATCTCGCTTTTGTGAGATATCGCGTGTATCTAACAGACAGACAGACAGACCGACAGACAGACAGACAGACAGACAGACAGACAGACAGACAGACAGACAGACAGACAGACAGACAGACAGACAGACAGACAAATACTTATCAACATACTTACCGTTAAAATCGATAAGTAATGACTAGTGAAACGCCATGGAGATTGTGACTAGATTGCCATGATATATGTTAAATGAGTCTGTAGAACCCTGGTACAAACGAAAGGTTCTTTCAAAAATACACTGTTTAATTTAATAAACGAGATAGCGATCGGAGACCGCTGACTTATCGATCTAGCGGCGTGTATCCTTCCCTCTGACTCAATAGCCACACCGCGTGACCCATCACTTATTAATCAATACCTCGCTAATCATACAACATAATTTATCCCAAACCAATAGGCTTTTGGTCCGAGTTATGATGAATGAACATGGAAAATTTGGAGCAGATTCAACCTCGCTTCCGTGAGATATCGCGTGCATCTAACAGACAGACAGACAAATACTTATCAACATACTTGCCGATCGAGATCGATAAGTAATTACTACTTAGAATGGCTTACCAAAATGATAAATATATTTTGTATTGTTGTTATATCATTCAACTACAAACTGAATTTCAATTTTAAACGTACGTCATTCGTTTGTTGATTTTATAGTTTCATTGGCTTTTGGGCACAATATTTCTACCGGGAAAAGGGGAATTATATATATGTGTGTTTAGACAAAGCGTGGGATAATAATATAATACTATATCAATTTTGCATAGTTTGCGTAGACTGTATTTACACAAACTTTTTAATTGAGTTTCCAAATAAAGTTAGCGACCACATTTGCCTCCACGGTGTTTTCCTATACAGGTAGTATCCTCCGACAATGGACATTGTTCCAATTATTAACAACGATGCCGGGACTTCCTTCTGTGTCTTTTTTGAAACGGATCAGTTTCCAGTGCTTCCTTGACAATATCCCCACCCTTATTTTTATGCGGAAATAATGGGTTTGGTATTGGCATTCCTAAAAATTCACACATTGGCTCCCATCCTTCTGAACATTGATAAATTAGAAATTTGTCAGATAGCGCATTCTGAAAACGCAAAATAAAATGCATCGGCAAGACAAAAATGTCAAATGCATTTCCCATCGATATTGGAGACTAAACCAATAGTAATTTTGGGTGTATTTTGAAACGAGATTTTTGAAATGGCAGCATACAAAATAACTTATATCCTATCAAAATATTTTAAAATCAAATTGTGAAAATTTCTCACTTCATGTTATGATCCAGGAATCTCAGATATTTATTCATTAAATCTATCTATCCATTAAATCTACCTGCACCCAATATGAGAACCTGAAGTAAGCTTTCGATAACATTAGAGAATAACTGAAAATAATTAAATTTTCACCTGCAAGACGTGAGCGTTGTGCGCTCTGAACTTCATCTTCGATACCTCTCCCACCAAACGGTCTCCAAACTGGTTGAACGTACATTCCAAATATTACTGGAGCTTCATTAACGTAAAATTATCGAATTTTAGAAAATATACACAGTTCGCATACTTTGCACAAATGTCTTCAGCTTCTTTCCCCCTAAGAATCATATACTGTGTATATATAAATATAAATAGTGCTTTCTCACCTATAAACAAACCTACAGCATTCATTGACGTCCTGAAAGTGGGTGACAAATATGGCATCATTGTGAAAATAAAATTCGTTTCATCAACATTAATTTGATTTTCAAAACTTCTATATATACCAACTTTCTTCATCTCTCGTCATCAAAATTATCTGAAAAAAATTGTTTTATAAACTGTGTTTGGGTGAAGTAATTATACCTATGTTATATATATCTTAGCGTGGTTATGTAACCAATATTCAAGTATAGTTTCTCTATCATCAAGTCCATGCATTCCAAACAATAGACTGATCAAGTATTCCTATAAAGCACTTGGACTGCCAATCGGACAAGAGGCCAAATGATTGAGCCGGCCAACCAGTATTGTGATATCCTACATCTAAGGTCATCAAATCGCTGTTACCTTCGCATCCGGGGATGCTTTGTGTATTTCTTCCCAAAAATAATATGAGAGAACGTCCACTACAGCGTCCACATTTTCATACATTTTCTTGAAATCCATCACTTATTGAAAATTTTCTCTCATTCGGTTTGCAGTAAAAAATCATTTTCAAGATGATCATATACACTGTACCCAAGTAGCTTTAACGCCGCATTTTGTACCAGTTTTGTGTAACGTAATTTATTTGACTTATACGTTAAACATATGGCTCTGAGCTAACACCATCACAAACACTACATGAAGAATAGTAGCTATATTGTCTACTAAACAGTATATAGTGTCTTTTTTTATGTTGCTTTAAAATTTAATCTGAAACAATTGCTTGGAAGTAGGTAATTGCCTTAAATGGCATTATTATAATACGCGTGTGTGCGTTGCAAACGTGTACGTTTACATTTTAATTTATTTTACAATATCATATGTCACAAGTAGACCGTTATAGTCTTACATCAATCAAATCGTTTTTTATTAGCCGTCCAGGCAAACGGGCACAAAATAAATTGAAGCAAAATTGAAAAAATATACATGTCTTTGCCCAGAGCGGACAGGATGGCCGCGAAATGACCATTCGGTCTACTTGTCAGCGGCTACCTTGCAATAGCTGTATTAATTAAAATTTAAGAAACGGACACAAGTAAACGCTTTTATAAAGGACTTGCACGGGTCACGTGACTTTGTTTACTGGACGGCAAAAAAACAAAAATTGCCATTTGGCTCCTGTCAGTTGCAAGTCGGATTATACGTTTCCGTTTTGTTTGGCTGTTGAAAATGGTTATTTCGTATTGTTCCATTGGCTGTACGTATAGTATAGACATTAGACAACGAAATGGATCTTCAGTTATATTCCACTGTTTTCAAAAGATCCGGAACGTCGCGCAGTGTGGATACCATCTATTGGTAGGCCTACTTGCAGACTTGACTTGTGTTAGGAATTAATCATCAATTGCCATGAGGTATTGTTTCCCTAGTTAGCAGGTAATCTATTAGTAAGTGTGAAAAGTTGAATAGATACCTAAAGTTTAACGCCAGTGCTCATGCAAAAAAGAACCAGAATTCAATTGAATTTGCCATCTAGGAATACGCTCGCCACCGCATCTCTGATCACCCTGGTAGTGTCACAGGTTCCAATCCCATGCGGGGATAGTTATGTGCGAGAGGATTGCAGCTCTCCTCCCACTGAGGATGGTTCACACGACCGTTGGTCGAATAAGACATCCCCCACCATCAAGTCCATGCTTCTGAAAACAAATAACTGGCTAACTAATCCCGACATAGAATGGTAATATATGCTCATTGATTGAAATGAGGAAGCTCATGAATATTTAAAGAAATTGATAACGGCAGATTATCACTCACCATCAACGAAGTGCTGTCCGCAAACAGTGAAACACAAGCGAGATGATTTCTGGACTTGACACCAAGCAGTCCTGCCAATAGATGATATCCACATTGCGCGACGCAGAAATTATGAGAAATTTTGACTTAGCGATGGTAATCGACAATCTATTACTAGCCATCCAGTTTTGTACTTTGATGAGTTCCTCATTTATTTTTTCCTGTAATGATGACATTGATGGGGCACTGGTGGACAATCCTGTGTCATCAGCAAAGAGTTTTGTGAGCAAATTGGAGGCATTTGGAAGGTCATTCACATATAAAAGAAAAAACAAAACACCGAGAATGGAGCCTTGTGGGACGCCACAGGTAATAGAGAGTTTTGACGATTTTGTGTCATTTGATAATTGAACAAATTGTGTTCGATTGGTTAAATAGTTAGTTTGGAGTCGCAGTGAAATACTTCGTATGCCGTAATGTGATAATTTGTGCAGTAATATTTTGTGGTCCACTGTGTCAAATGCTTTTTTTAGGTCAATGAATACGCAACAGATACTTTCGTTTTTCGTCTAATTGTTTATGAAAGTAATTAACAAAATCAATTATGGCATGGGTAGTTGAATGTCCACTTTGGAATCCAAATTGGGATTTATTCAGCAAATTATGTTTGGCAAAGAAGAGGGCGAGACTGGAAAGAATTGAAATTGGTCGATAATTTTCAGTTTTAGTCTTATCTCCCGATTTGAAGACTGGTGTGACTCGTGCACATTTTAGGATATCTGGGAATACACCAAGATCCATTGCAGCATTGTATATAGTAGCCAATGGGCTACATATAATATCAGCAATTGTCTTGAGGAAATAATTAGGTATATTATCCGGACCAACAGCTTTTCCATTTTTTAGGTCACTTATTATGCTGAAAACTTCCATATCTGTTGATGGTTCAAGGAAAAGCGAGTGTTGGAGAGACGAGCCTAAAGTATTCATAAATGGCTTTGTTGATTTAATTGTGGAAGCTAATTTGGTTCCAATGTTGGAAAAATATGCATTGAAATGATTGGCAATTTCAATTTTATCAGAAATTATTGTACCGTTGGTATCAGTTAGTTCATTAATCACCAATTGCTTTTGATTCTATTATTTACAATTTGATTTATGGTCTTCCATGTTGTCTTAACATCACCTCTACTTTCCCGGAATTAACTCTGGTAGTAAAGTTGTTTGGATTTCTCTTTTGCACGAGTAAGGATTCTGCTATATTTCTTGTAATATGCTAAGAAATATGGAGATAAATTTTGTTTATTTTCTTTAAATATCTTTGTTTTTGTGACTGAATGAAATTTTCAAGCCTTTTGTTAGCCATGGTTTGGATTTTAAACGTGCTTCTCTTCTGGAGAGTTTTTTTAAGGAAGCGTGTTTTTTAATCAGTGCTTTAGTCAAATGAAGAAAATTATTGAAGATAGGATTAATTGTTTCACTACTAACTTGCCGTATATTATTTAGAGATGTACCGATACCACTTTTTTCGCCGATACCGATACCGATCCGATACCAGCTAAAAACGCCGATACCGATACCGATACGCCGATACTACAAAAAGGCCGATACTACCGATATTCCGATACCGATACTATGTAAATATTACCTAATTAGGTGTGCTGTGTAGGGCAGACGGATTAAAACAATGGTCTTTGAGCGTTGTTCATAGCACACATTATTTCAGATCGAAAAAGAGATCTATCACATAATATGAAATTGATGTTTGGCATCCAGATGCTTTAACTGATTAAGATACACACTAGTAATCTCGGTGTTCAATTAGAAAAATCCTGAGCCGGGATGTCCAATCCGAATTTATTGTTAATATCGCGACTTTCGAATATCGTTACTTATGTTTAAAAGAATATCGCCCACACATTCTAGCGCCGCCGTCCTACGTTCAAATTAAAAGCATTTTACAAATATTTTATTTTGTGGTTAATCATAATCATCGCTGCAATAAAACAAAGCCAACATGAAAGAATATTAATCAGCACCGACAAGAAGAAGGCCTACCCATACCCGTCGAGGAGTTTTTTTTACTTTACTATTTTATAATATTTTACAATTGCTATCATATATTTTGACACAATCTAGTCTAACTCTAGGCGGTCATGTCAAAATATCTATAAAGAAATTGTGTAGTTAAACAAAATTAAAATTAATACCTGCGTAGACTGATAATTGACTAAAATGATAATAAATGATAGTCGTAATTGACGACAAACAGTCAGAATTTATATCCGTGCCAAAAGTGCATGTGCCGTTATTCAGGACCCCAGTTCCACTGTATGATTTAAAACTGGGCGCCTACTTGCTTTTTGTTATGTGCTGTGTTGATATATTTCTTCATAATTACTATGTAATATCAAAAATGTCAATATAAAATTTGACAGCAAAAATAGCCAAATTAGTTAAGCTAGTTTGGCTGATGAATAGCTAAAAACAGGTGAATCCTATTCCCTCGCGGGGATGGGGACAAGTATGGCTCATAGTTCACGATCTCTCCAGACAAAAAATAAATTGAAAAGTAGTATTCCAACTTATCTTTTAAAACATTCTGGACCAAATCAAAAAGGTAAATATATCGGAAATATCGGCCTTAATCTAACCGATACCGATACATGGCCGATACCGAAATAATGACCGATATTGCCGATACCGATACCCGATACCGATACATCGGTACATCTCTAATATTATTATGCCACTGCTCAAATAGAATTGAAACTTCATTTCTGAATTCATTTACTGAAAAGTTTTTCATGCACCTTTTATAGTATATATTATTTTTCGCATATTTCGCATATACTATTTTTCCCTTCTTCTCAATTTCATTGATGTAATTCTTACCTGATTCCACCATCATCTGTTTGATTGCATATGCCATTGTCTCTACTGAATTGTATAATGTGATATCAGGGTTACATATCCATATTAATATGCACATGAGTTTGAATCTTAATCTAGCCTCTCATTAAATATTTATGCTTATAAAGTTAATTTTTGCATTTCGCTCTCCACTTAATTTTACCACTGATTTTACCAAAAATGAGGGTGTTATATCTTTGACTGGTACACAGTGGGGGTTTGGATTCGTATAGAAATATAACACACAGATGCTATGTTACTAAAACACTGCAATTTATACAAGCACTAATTATTATTATGCTTTTTCGTTCCTCCTGAGGGTCTGCCTGAAATTGAATCAGTAGAAACCCCACGTATCGGCTAGTCCGCTCGATTTCCATCTTACTCAGACGCTTCGACAAGCGAAGCTAAACGCAATTATATAAGTACGCACTAAAAATATAAACTTGAATGAGGAGTATAATTTTGAAAACTAGATTAAGATATAAATTTCTTAACACAAAACTTGAAACAGTTAAGAAATGGGATATGAGCAACATCAACACTGGGTTACAGTGTTTGTTTTTGGCATCTGAATCTTTTCGACTTTACAGAAAGAATAAACAGAAAAAAGTAAGTTTTGAGTGATTTAATTCGGAAAAAAGATACTTCCGAAGACGTTAGAATCATTCGTCACAGCAAGATACGTTTGAAATTAAGAAAGAATCTTTCAAAATAGCATCTGTTAATATCACCAGAATTTTAGTGTAGGCACGGTTAAATCAGACGGTGTCATAAATTTGTAAATTGCGCCAACTGCACAAAAAGAACACACTACGGCGCATGTGATGTACATTTCTTTTTTCATCTGTTGGAATATCGGACTGTGTTTTAGATAATCATCAACCAGAGATCCTCTTTGATTTTTGTGAGGAAACGGAATGTCAGGGACGCGCAATCCCAAGAATTTGCAAATCGGATCCCATCCGTCTGATATACTGAAGATGAGTAGTCGATCTTCTGGAGCTCTCTGTAATGTGAAAATATGAATATTCATAATAGGCTGTATTAATTTGCATGGCCGGTGCTAGGAACTGCGGGGGCCCAATTAGAGTCTGATGGTGGGGCATCTACTCTTCGTAGTAAAATTTATGGATGTTTATGTTTCATAAGAAAACATACATACAAACCAAAAAGTAGACATTTAATACTTGTTATAAAACAAATTTAATGTGGATGCTGTAATGTGGATGATTTAAATGTTTTACTTTTAACATCAAAAAAGCCAAACTGGGCAATTAAATTATACTATTTTAGAAAAAGGCTTTTCTATTCTTGTAATTAGCAAAATCATTCAAAATATTTCAAAGTCAAGGTCTTTTTTAGAAAACGGTACAAAAATGTTGATCTGAATTTCTGAAATAAAACAGAACAGAAGAATTTAATCGCTAATGGTGACATAACGACAATTCACTAAATTTACCGTGCATAAGAAATTAGTATTATGAGAAAGATTATTTCACTTTTTATTTTATGTTTCCAATAGTATTTTGTACATCATAATACAGAAAAAGACCCCCACTATAGCGGGGCCTAATTTGATAAAATCGGTCGAATCGGCTTGAAACCGGCTCTGCTTACTTGTGCTAGTTTAAGCAGTATGTTAAAACAATGCTGAGAGCAGATAAGAAAACCCATTCGGCAGTTCAAAGTAATTATTGGTGCAAATTTTTGAACGCAAATACACAATGATTCATTACGACCTCTAATGCCATTGAGTAACGTCACCCTTACTGTGAAAGCTTTTACAATCAGATCACAACCCCTCACCCAATTTCTTCCTATAATACATTGTTTTTTATTTTATTATTGAATTTCTCACCGTCAATACTGATGTATTGTGATCCCGATATCTTTTCTTCGCAACCGTGGGACTTATACCTCGAAATGCTGCCCAAAATGGTTGAGGTGGAGCACTGAACGCTATTCGACCTGTATAAAATTCAGTATAAGATGAAACTTTGGAATTGATCTTACTGATTGTTTTATTTTTTTTAAATGTAAAATTTTTACATTAAGTTAATTATAATTGTATAAAATTATCACAAAAAATTTCAAATAACACTGTCATAAAACGAATTTTCACAATTTGTCATTAACATGTATTTTATGTTATTCAGTTTATTTTGACAGAAAATTTGAGGAATGGAAACATCAGTAATTATTTGTTAAGGCGAAAGTATCATCAGAAATGCAGCGTTATTCATACTTACCAACGTGTCGGCTGTAACAAAATATTGAATTTGCAGTGTAAGATACAAACGCCAATCCTTTCATTAGCCAATTGTTTTTCAATTCATTAGCCTGTCTTTCCCAACTACGAAGCCAATCCTCTTCGCTTTTACGTTGCATGAATATTATCTGTGATTTGAAATTAAGAATACGTTTCTCGTGTAACAATATTTAATTATTATCGTAAATGCCGACATTCTGTCCAGGAATTATTACCAAGATAAGGTGGATTCAGAAAGTCCAAACTTTCAGCCTGATCCGGAGACTTCAATCTAATAGAAAAGAACTACAAATTTTTTTTTACATCTCATCAGCCTCGTAGAAAAATTAACTAAAACCGAGTCATTTCAGGTATTTTTCTTTATTGAAAGATGTGCCAATCAATGATTTAGAATTTTATATACACTCACGAGATGAAAAAGATAGCCTATAGCTTAATTATCTAATCTAATTAATTTTAGTTTACCATTTTAGCAGCGAATATGATTAATGTTTTAGACAAATTTGTGCATATTTTTCTTCATATTCAAACTCGACACAAACGTCCCCAATGCGCATTACTTTTCATCATACAACCTACTTTGGCTTCCGGAAAAGCTGCAGCAATTTCTTCCCAAAAAATTACGGCTGGTATATCACAAGTCGCATCAACGTCTTTATACATTTGATAGAAATCATCTTTTGTTCCACCACTCGTCATGATTTTTATCCATTCCTTCCGAAGGTAGAAAAAATTATGTTCGTAATCATACACTTTGTAACCAAGAACAGACAGTGCCGCGTTCATTGTTTTTGTCCCAGTTTTCGAAAATCCGGCTACGATCACTTTCATTTCTGCCTATTATTCTGTTCTAACTTAGCTTAAAGACTGTAAAAATATAATTTAACAGCATCTGACCAAATCTTCAATCATAATACACTTTGGATACGCGTTTTTTTTTTAATTTAAAATATGGGGTCTGTTTAAAATCAAATTCTTTATAATTCTTTGTATAAGTGTGATGAGTGTTATGGTCCACATAAATCCAACATATTTCACCCGTAACCTGAACTCCTAACCTAAACAGTGAAGTTTGAAGTTTGAACGATACAACAGTTTGGTTAGCAGAACTATAGGCACTTGGATAGCGAATTTTTTTCTGTATGGAGAATGTCGTCTTGTATAGTACTGGCACAAGACCACACATGTTCAAAGTCACACACAACTTCAAAAGCGTCAAACCTACAAGGCACCTTGAAGACCACGCAGAACATCGTAGGGCATTTCGCAACCGTGGAGAGGATTACACGGTTCTTTATTTACTTAGTTAACATCAAATTAAACAAACAGTTTACTCGAACAAAACCTGCAAAAAATTTCCATTGCAGTTACGAAAGGCTCACAAAATTAGTGAAATTGTAAACGTGCGCAACTAAGAATTGATTTTGGACTCCCATTAGGAATTTCCATTAAGTTCAATTTGAATCAGTAATTCATAAAATAAAGACGGCAGTGAAAATGGTCACTCATTTCATGAATTCCCTGTCATCGCACGGAACTGAAAAACTTTTTCGCGGTTTTTGGTATTGTGTTTAGTAGGTAAGAACGCCGCTCACTTTCAAATCTATCTCACCACTATCTCCTGTAAACTAATTATTTCGATTTGCGATCCAATAAAATTAACTGCACTTCTTTAATTTATATTACCTTACATTTGATCTCTTCAATACAGTCCAATTCTACCACTAAATAACATGGAATGCTCTTGTGTTCTGAAAAAAACAGCCTTTCCGCTGCACGTTTGACATAGCTTGTGTTTATGACAAGAAAACTAATAGGTTCAAGGAGAAACGAAAGCGATAAATGGTGTAGCAATTCTTTATCACATACGGATTATGTTTATTTTATAAATATATATATATATATCTATGTCACATCTGGTTTATTTTGTAGTCTAGGATAATATTTGAACAATTTGACAAATGATATATGTATAGCCCACACGCACAGTGGATGTGCACGTAAAATATGTTGCGCTAGTAACAAATTGGTGTTCCTTATCACATATCGATTAGGCCCTTGTTATTTCGTATCTCTTTGGCTACTGCAACAACCAGCATTTATTAAATTGAGCATATGCTGCCATTCCAAATCCTTTATACATCGAAGAGATCTCTTAATGTGTCATTTCTATCAATTCTATATTTAAACTTTGACCTCTGTTTTCAAGCAATGTGTGATCGAACATGGAAAATGTATCATAAAATTAACAATTTCGCTGCCACGGGCCACTATAGTGGCTCATGAAGCTGACTCCTGACTGAAAATGAGCAAAATATACCGGAGAATTTCGCAAAAAAATCAATATTGACTATGCCTGGTTCATACGCAATTATATCCTAATGTATGCGGGATAGAGCAAAGTACTCGCTAGAAAAATGTGCACTGTTTAAATATTATCTTTATTTGTCGCTGAGTTATAGCCAATTAAGTTTGCCATTTTTGGATGTCATTGGTATCTTCATGGTTTCATACGATTAAATTGCGTAACTTACGTATTCGTCAAGGTCACGTCGACGCACGATCCACGTAACTGACGTTACTACGCAACGCGCGATTATGGCGACATGGTGGCGCCAGTAAAAAGAACAAAGGGATGTACAAAAGTTGCGAAGCCGCAATAATAATGTTAAACGGTAAATAGCGATTATTTTTTGGTCCTGATGCGGTGACCAATTGTATATTGCAGCAACACCAGAAGAAATAAAACGTACAAAAATAAAAGAAACTTGGGTGAATGAAAATAAACAGGAAATTGAGGTAAAGGAAAAATAGACAATGATAAGGTGCTATCGACGATTATGTATTTTCATGTGATATAACTCTGCACATGGTGCGGGGCAAAGAGAAACATCACAATCCCTGAAAAAATATTTGGTTCTTGTTCGTCGAGATTCTCGATCCGAACATTGCACGCAATTATAATATTTTTTCGTTGAGTTCGCCGGTGGTTGGTCTTCGGTGCATTTACTTGCAGTTGTCATGGGCTTGGCAAACTTATTTAAGAGCGATGTTTTAACAAGTCAAGGTACATAGTCAAGATGAAATATTTTAATTCTTTTCAGTCTTTTTAATCGAGCAGCATAGAAAACAACTAAACCGATCATTAGATAGCTCTGAAAAAACTAAACAACTTTCAAATTTCGGGTTTTTTGTGGCCGTAACGGTTCTAAAAATATAGCAATTTAAAAACATGACTCTCAAACTTCGGAAAATGTCAAATATGGCTTGGCAGCGAGAGCGTTCTCCTATTCCAACAAAATTTAGTAGACTGTTTACCTGTCGTTGACCTCGATGTTAACAACTTTATCAATGTTAACAACGTTTATGCTGACTGGTAGGATAAATATCAAGTGCAGAAGAGAGAGATAAAATAAATGTAAATATTGTAATAAACTATAAACTACTTTATGATGAAATATTCAACAAAATCATTGCATTGGTATCGCCATTCCTTCTTTATAAAGCTTTATTTAGACGCCGTCGCTCGTAAGCTTTAACAATGAAGTTGAATGTTAAGTCCATGAACTATAGTTCATGTTTATATACATATCAATTTCAGCAAGATGAACTGGCTAGTGTTTTCTGCAAATTATTATAACCTAGCAGGTTTGCGGATATAGGGTTTATAGTTATTGACGCATTATTTAACAATACCAGTCAAATGGCGTAGAATAATGACAACCATTGAGGTGTATCGAGTTTATTTCCCGGAATATTAAGTGTGTCAAGCAACCTTTCACCCTGGACATATTGGTAGCTAGCTAAAACCAAATCAATAGTTGTCGGATGTATTAAACAGGAATCATATATAAGCGCAATCTGAGAGATGAGATAGAAATGTTCAGGATGAAACCCATCATTTCACCTTACTTTTTTATATTTCAGAGTTGTAATTTGTTCGTACATATACAGTTGTCACGATGTTAGTTCTTGCTGTTGGTTTCCCCAAAACGGGAACAAAATCTCTTGGAGTTGCTTTAGCGAAGCTTGGCTATAAGACGTACGACTACGACAAAACTTTGTACTATCTTGGAAAGGAATGGATGAAAATTGTCGAACATGGTGGAACAAAAGATGATTTTTATAAGATGTACAAGGACGTGGATGCGAGTGTTGATGGACCAACGTCGCATTTTTGGCACGAGATACTGGAAGCCTTCCCTGATACAAAGGTTAATATAAAATAAGGTACTATCATCAAGTACTAAGATGGCGGACGCCGGAACGTAGTATGTGTACCAGGCTAGGCTTAGGCCATAATTGTATTCCAATTTTCCTTATTTTAGTTCTATTATGAGTCCGGGGACTAGCCAAGTGACTCCCGTAGTGTTTGTATCTAAAATTATGGCCTAGCCCTAACCTGGTACACATACTACGTCCCGGTGTCCGCCATCTTGGTACGCATACTTCAGGAGCAGCCAAAATAAAACAAATGATGATGCTTTGTACTGTTTTTACATTACGTTTCATTAAAGATATGTATATATGTCATGGGGTTTATTTTTATTTTGTTTGCTTCATAAACCACGTGAATGAAATTTTATTACTAGCTGATATAATAAAACAACAAGGGAACAATGCGCAAATATTCTAGTGTCATACAAAGTAAAGGTCATATAAAACTGTTTCCTGAACTAAAATAAAACACTAATATTTCAGTTGAAATTTCGGGTCCATTCGGCGAAAAAGAAAAGCGATTTTTTCACAATAACAATTCTCCATAAGAAATACTTGACCTCCAATAAACAATGCTTGCTGAACGTGGAGCAATTTAGTGATAAATAAGGACAAAATAAGAAAAAAATATCGATTCACCGATAGCCGTATGCGGTACGGTAGTTTACCAGTATCTGATATTCGTTTGCGGAACGGTTCTTTCTTGTCATATAAGAACTCAATTCATTTCCTCTTATCAAATAAAAAAAGAGATAGGCTACAAAATTTATGTTGTTTATATCAGAACTGTAACGAAAAGATGAGAGCGTAATTCAAAGAGCGTACGGTACCTTACCAGTACCTGTTGCTGTACGGGAACGGTTCTTCTCTGGGATATAAAAACTCAATTCAATTTGCTCTTATCAAAATTACCAAATACGGTAGGCTAGATTTGCTAGAAAACCTACATTTGACATTACTGCAATAGTAAGATCGCGAAAGGAATATGTCAATTTCACTGTGGTCCGGTAACTGAGCAGTACCGTTCCTGCATGTTCGATCACGCAACCGCTTAAAATAAGTTTCAAAGCAGTGTTCCCATGAGTAAATTTTAGAACAGCGAAATTTTGAATGAAATATCAAATCTCATAGGATTCATAGGAAATTTAGGAATAAATAAAAGTAATAGCCTTCTGGAAAAAAATCGAACTTTAACCACTGAAAATTTCGAAGCAATTGGTCCAATATTCGAAGAGAAAAGCGATTTTATCATGACGAAGGAGAATAATAATAACAAGAACAAGAACAACAACATAATATTGAAACGATCGTTATGTCCACTAAGAGTCCAATAAAATGTCCAATAACACAATAGATCCAAGTATCTTACCACATTATAATAGATTATTTGATCGGTTGGTATTACGCGAGACAACCTACCTTTCCTTGCTCTATGCCTTTGCGCAGATGGATTCGTATGCCTATACCGCAAGGATGCTGTAGCAAGAATTAGGATGACTATTATATTTAATTCAAGAATCTTGCTGCACATTGACACAAACGTATTACTGTATTACGTATTAAATATTATTTGATGAAGTAGTATTCTGTCAAACATCTGAATGCGCTAATCTTATTGACTCTTCATGGAAATATTTTGAAAAAATAAAGAAACAATAATTATTCATTACTTTTTCATCCTGTTGTTTGCTTTATTTTGTATAGATTATATTTATGGTGAAAGACAGCGAAGAAAATTGGTGGAAAAGTTTTGAAAAAACATGCAAGAGAATGCAACGGAATTATTTATTCCGTCTATTCACATTCTTGTCTCCAACGGCGAATGCATTCCGTCATCAGCTTCAGTGTGTATGTGAGTATAAATTAAATAATAGCAATTCAGATTTAATTTAAATTTTCTATATTAATTTTTTGTAATTTTTTGTTTTTTGAGGTACCATCACAGCATATACGTGTATCTTGAATAAGTAGAAACATATTAATTGACAACTATGATGTAAAGTAATGGCTTTATGATACCATTATTACGCTGATATTATAAAAAAAATAATTTTACTTTAAATTTCCCGAAATAGAAAAAATATGTACTGCAGTTGTGCGGAATGATCCCGCTCTGTAATTTATGTGGGACTTATGTACCAGTTACAAAATGTAATAACTTGGATTGGCAGAGACAAAATTTTTGTGACAACTTTGGTACGTGTCAGTATAATCCATATTTGCGTTTTTACAATGCAATATATATATTTTTTATCTACTATTCCAATCATTGATATCTGCTGTATTTCAGCTCGTGTGACACTTGGAACTCAGAATGAATCGTTTTTCAAAGTATTTGCAGATGTCAATCCAACTATAGCTAAACAGCGATACCGAAACCACAACGCTAATGTACTCATGGTGAGTGAACGGAATTCGGACTGAGTAATACTAATGCTCTTCTGGGAAGGGTTTATACCTGTGTAAGATACATTTGGAATTGACGTTTTCGTTTGCAGCAGATATAAATACTCAATACAAGATGTTTATCATTATTCATCGTTAGTTGTTCATGCCACTGCAGGCAGATAGCCTTCACAATTGACGCCACAATTTTCTTATGACTTCAATTATTCAAAAATAGGAGTGTACAGATTCGGACGCACGTGTCGCCCAAAAATCGAGTCCACATACAGCTATGAGGGGAACTATCAAACTCCTCGTTTATGATAATATTCATAGTAGTGAATTCATTTACCATTGGATTTTACAGAACGCTCCGAAAGATCAACTTCTTGAGTTTCATCCTCGAGAAGGTTGGGAGAAATTGTGCAAATTTCTCAACAAACCGATACCAGATGTCGCATTCCCACACAAAAACAAGAATGGTGAAGCTTTGGAAGATTTTATGGAAGAAAGTCCTGTTTTTCGAAGAATTAAAATGGAGGTCAAAATCACAACTTCACTCATATTTGTTCTGATATCTCTCGTGGCGTATTATGTGTTCACTTTATTATAATCATTCACAGTGAAGTTGCAAATCGTTGCAAATAATTATGTTTCTCTTCATTTTATTATACATGATTTGAATGTTTTTTAAACGGAATTTACTTTATCATGTAGCCTTACATTTTTCTGCGAACTGAGTTAGTACCAATCAATAAATATTATTGTTCGTTCGTGCAAACACCTGCTAAAAATTTGCCGTATGTTGAAATATCTGACTCTTCTACCACATAACAAGACAAATAAAGGATCAATAATGTTTTGTGGTTATAGTCGTCATATAAAATCAGAACCGTTGCTGATTATTTCATTTTTAATAGGCCAGCTAATTGGATGTTTGGAAATTTCAAAGCAATTGGTTAGTTAATGAGAAAAGCAATTTTCACTACAATAAGAAAAAAAATGCTAACAACAACAACATTATAATAACAAAACGATTCATAGGTTCACTGCGTGTCCAATAAAAAAATACCGTGCAATGCGTAGGCTGAGGCTTTGGTTTTTTTAATATGAAGAATTTCTGGCAGTTTCCTGAAATGGGTCGTAACGTCTTTCGACGCAACAGGCGCAAAAATGAGAGATCAATTCTTTCTCTGTCGACACAAGGTGGTAGGCATCGTAGTGGCACTGTGAAGACGTCATACATTTAGGTCGAATTCAAATAAAATTAAGAATAAACACCGCATCGCCATCCAAAACTAATTGTATTATCTGAAGATAAATGTACTCAATAACAATACCGAAATCTCCAACTACGATATAGCAAGAAACTAAACGGGTTTAAGGCCTTCGTTTCCGAAATATAGTCCTAATTGCATCGCTTGCTCAATTTCTACTAAATTTCCATTAATGTTATTTCTGTATTTTTAGGATATACATAACCATGGCCACATTGTGAAGTATGTTCTGATTACACATGACCAATCATGATTGTGGTTATCATGTAATCTCAAGAAGTTAATCGATCGTTAATCGACGAATATATATATTAGGCTGAAATTGATCGCCTGACTAATCAAAACTATTTGCATTTTATTATTGTATAATATAATCTCAGTAAATTAAAATTCTTCTGTGAAATGCGGCTTTCGTCTGTGCATTTTCCTTCATTTCATAAGTACTAGAATTTTAATTAGATTACACACATAGCAATAAAAATATAATATCGAATATTTAAATTACTCCCGAAATAGTTGAGAATCTATTCAATTTTATTTCTGATATACCAATATGAATTTCTATCACGAGTCTCCACATTTACATAACGATCTAAAATTAAATCAGTATAAGATGGTCCGTAATTTGTCTTTGCCTATCATATAGATATATATACATATTGTTCCACAAATACATGTGTGACCATGAATGACCATTATTTAGAACATCAACGTTATAGAAGCGATGTAAATTGAAACTATGATTATTATGAAATGTAAGCAGTTGTCAATCACATCGAAAATTTTTCGACATGTATGCAGAAGATGTACATTTGTTTGTGACCCCGGTTGTTGTACAATCAGCAGGCTTGTTCATGGGGCATATTTTTCTGTCCCATCCCACATCATTCCACTGCATTCCCATTGGAATACAGTTCAATAAAAATTGTAAAATTTAGGTTTGGCGTCTCCTAACCTAAGAGACATGCAAAAGGGCAAAATTCATTGACTTTGTTAACTTTAGAAAATCAGAACCATTATATAACTAGCAAGAGAGCTATGCTCGAATATATGGACACGAAATGCATAAGAAAATGTTTTACTATCAGTTCCCCGAAAATCATACGGTATCCTGAACGAACCTGAACAGCCACGGTAACTTACCAGTACCTGTATCAGGGTACCGGTAACGGTACGCGGATTGTCCTAGCTTTTCCAGTTCCAGTGAAGATGATCTTGAAACTATTACAGCTAAATTTTGGATAAAATATCAGGTCTCATGGGATTTATAGAAAATTTAGGAATACATAAAAATTCTATTGAAAAATACAATCGTAAACCACTGAAAATTCCAAAGCAATTGGTCCAATTATTGAAGAGAAAGGTGATTTTTTTATAACGAAGAAAAATTCTAACAACAAGAATAAGAGCAACAATAAGAACAACAAAATAATAACAAAACGATCCATAGGTCCATTCCGTGTCCACTTTCTCTCTAAAATGCCGTGTCCCATGTGTCCCATGGGAAATACAAATGTGTGCTGTCCCTTCCCATCCCATGTGACGTTTTTCATGGACAAGCCCGATAATCAGAATACGTCATTAAATAACATTAGCCAGACGTTATGTGCCACAGGTATCGAGCGGTATTTCAGAACTTCGTTAAACTAAACAGAGATCGTTAAACTATTTATTAAATAATGTTTATACAAGCTACTAATGAGCGCTATTCAAATTTTGGACTTCAAATAATTATTAAATTCTGAAGCTACGATTTTCTGTGCATTTTTTTATTGCACAACTACATCTCCAACAAACATTAATTTATGCTTGAAAACCCTTTGATAAAATTTTCAAAATTTACGCCATCTCCAAGCAGATTTTAGTCAGATAATAGAATAAAATATATTTTGTGTGGTTCAAATATCTTACATCGGGCAAAATATTATGCTTTACGCTTTTGTGTGACCAAAGTCAGACTTTCTCACTCAGACAAACAGTTTTACATAGTTGTGAAATTCACACAACTATCAGTTTACGTTTTTATGAACTGCTTTTCTCAGAAGTCTAACTTTATTCAGATGAAACGCTGTAGAATAAAATTTGTGCAAAGTGCGATGCTAGATGTTTGAGCGACCATTTTGATTCTTGTTGCAGTTTCCTTGCTGTATATGGATCAACTAATGCGAAGGCAGAGAAAAAGCAGCAGCAGTCGAATACACGCTACTCTAATGATATAATCAACCATATACACTTGAAGTATCTTTTTCAAAAGATATAAAACATTTTTTTATATATCAGTAGTTTATTGATTCAAATTAATTTCATTTAATGAAATATCTCCTTCGCGAAATATTTAATGGTAATTTGACCAATTACTCGCGTCGTCAATGCCGTCTCATTTTTTACTAAATTACAATAAACTGTGATGAATTTTGCGGTAAATCGGAAACAATCACTGGTTTAATTAAGTATATATATATATATATATATATATATATTATCACTTCAAAATCTTATAAACTTTCGGTAACTCCAGTAGGATCCGAGGCCAAACATAAAAACCAATGAAATAGAAGATAAGAAAACTTCGGCTTTTATCTTCCTAAAAGTTTTCATTTCTACTATATCTTTGGCCATTTCGCCTTTGATATTTTTATGGGGAAATGGTTCGCTAGGAACCGGAAGATTGAGAAACTTGCATAAAGGGTCCCATCCTTCTTTGCAGTTGAATACCAACAGGCGATCTTTTGGACAACACTGTTAAAAAAAATTAATTGCACATTGATTAAAAAAGATTGTATGAGAAATCTATGTAACGTAGGTTCAGCGTTATGGTTCCGGGGAATGAATCTAGCTTTTATATAACTAGACTTTATGTAACATCAGATGCGCGCAACAATATATTTTTAATTAAGACCTTCGTTAGCATAGAAAAAAAATTGTTTCCATATCCCCATGAACCGCGTTGCATACTTGAATGTACTCACGGGAGTTATGTTCAGGGCAAATCAATTTGTCTGCTAGCAATTGAGAATCCAAACGATTCTTGTTTAATTTAAACTTGACTCCATTTAGTGGGATTCCTAAACTTTTACAGCAATTAATTTCATTCAGCAATCCATGGAAATTTGTCAAATACAATACCGGTATGTTATTTCAAAGGTACACCAAAATATTATCTTTTTATATGTAATTACAAAAATAAAACTATAACGCAGCAGATTGAAAGATACGACAACAATAAAGCTGGATGTCTTTTCGTAATTTTAATTTTGCTATACGCCACGCTATTCGATACATACCTCCTGTACAAAAGCATTGTGTCGTCTGTATGCCTGTTTCAAACATAACTCGTTAATTTTGTATCCAATCTGAAAAGTTTTTTCTGGTAGATATCCAAAACCTGGTTCAGCTGAAATGATAAACATGATTTGGCCTATAATTTGCTGCTACTCGTTTGTTACAGATGAGAAGAACAAATTTACACTCCTTGGAATTTTATGAAAATAAGCAAGTAGTATTTACATAGAATTTAAAATTGCAAATTGTGAAAATTGAGGAAGTTCACCAAAAACGACCTTACTTTGGCGAGTAATATTGATAAAGTTTTCAGGGCGAACAAAGGCTCGTTATACATACATTTAAACGGATATATCACTTATTTACGATACAATTCTATACAATTTTCGATTCAAAGTGGTTTGCTTGTTTCCATTAGTTTAAGCAGGCATTGTTATGACCAATCTTACCAAGCAATTTATTCATTTTCATAAGTTTGCGGTATGATGGAGAAAGTATTTGACATAAAACTCCAATAAGCGCTTGGTTATTTTCAATTTGACCGATCATGCTTGCGCAGAACTGATCTTCATTGTCTCTAACCATTAGAATGACCTTGAAAAATGTTTGTGTATGTTTTACATACATTTTAAAAAACAATATTTGTGCATGTTAGCTGCATACTTTTTTTGAAAATCAACATAATGCAATCGCATAAGAGTTCTCATGAATTTTACCATAGAGAACAAAGGTGACGGGAATAAAACATTTAAAAACATTAAACAATATACTAGCATTATCAAGCTAGACTATAATAATTAAGCATCGATTTCCTTGAGTTTCCAGCCGTTACACGAGAAAATGACCTTGTTTAATATTTTGACTGTCCATATTTTGGCCAATGATTGGTAAATTATTAAAATATTAAATTAAAATATTAAATTATTAAATTAAAATAACTCCGTGGGTCTCGATATTTTTATTTATCTCCCTGGTGTAACATTTCTGCTTTGAGCTTCCGCAGTTTGAAGCTTATTGGTTGTCATTCATATAGTATAGTATAGCTATAGTATAAAGCAGGGGTGGCCAACACGTCTCGAGTAGTCGATCGCGTCAGATGTTGAGTGAATTTAATAACATAACCCGAGAAATTGCCTTGAACCAGCTTCGTGCAGCGCAGTTTAGAACAAAAAGAATACAGTACCGTACATGCGCAAAATATGATACACATACACACATACAGTATTTGAGCCTGAGCAAGCTCAAGAAAGCATATTATTACCTAACAAATGATAATTTCGTCGCTGCCAAAGTTTTAAAATGAATATCGTGTTCTCGACCAAGACACAATCCTACAAAAACTTCTGCAGTATGCGAAAAGAGTAGTGTTATAAATTGTATTCGCAAGAAAACATTCGCACCCAACATGCCCAATTTTTTCTAATTCCAAGCGAGCGATGAATCGGAGGAAATTGTAAATTAGACACTGAAGTTTGAGCAGTCATGTAACATTTATGGTTTGAGAATATTTACTTTTCGCTTCCGTTAAAAATGCACCCACAGAGCAACGGCAAATTTTTTCTGTGTGTGTGCAGTTATCTGTATATTCAGTACTCAATGGTTTCTGTGTATGAACTTATTACTGATCAGTCGATCGCGAGCTATTTTAAAGATTTCAGTCGATAGCGACTGAAGGCAGGTTGGCTACCCCTGGTATAAAGCATTACCAAAAAGTTAGTATTTGAGGCCCATTATCACACTATAGTATTCTTAGCCATGCATTACTGGTACCAAACCTGTGCATTGCAACCTGAAGATATTTTGTACGTAAAATTCAGTGCTGTGAGTGCTGTGTTTAGTTGACTTACCTTGGCGTCCGGAAAAGCTTGTAATAGTTCCTCCCAGAAACAATATATAGGTAGGTCAGTTCCAGCATCAATGTCTTTAAACATAGTTTTAAGCAGGTCCAGTCCAGCTTCGTTTTTAGCTATTTTTACCCAGTTATCTCCATGCTCTTCAATATTTTCAATATAGTCAAACACCTTGTAACCTAACACAGTCAAAGCCCTATTCATTGACTTCGTGCCAGTTTTAGAAAATCCGGCACAAATAACTTTCATATTGGTAGTTTGAAATTTGGTGACACTAAATACGGTCTGCTGTTTCAAAAGATAACAAGAATTGATTTATGATAAAAGGTTTTCGCTTTTGCTTGCGTGTTGTAAATGCGACAGATTGAGTCATATCTTCCAACTATAAATTATTACTATTCATTCAAATTTTCTTATTTACTCATTAAATTAGACAAATGATACCCTTTCCCTCTTTCTTCGTAGACAGATATTTATAAGAGCAAACTGAATCACATCGAAAAATCTCAGAATAAGTTTTTCACTTACGTAGTTCGGTTATTCGCCTCATATTACTCACTTGCTAAATCTAACATACAGTACAACTGTTTGTCTTCTCTGTATCCCGAGCAGAAAGTTTAATTATTAACAAAGAATAAACAAAGAGTGAAAAGACTGTTCACTTCACAATTTACCAAGTAGGCTACATAAGTTTAAATAATTTCCGTGACTAGTACTTTTGAAGTTACACGAAGCCTTTTGAGGTACGATTTATTGATAGTAATATGTTCTTGTACTGAACACTTTGCTTTATCATAATTTTGGAATAGGTAGGAAATTACTCACATATCTCAAGTTTAAAGATGGCCAGGTTAATATTCAATATTAAAAAAACGAAATCATTTTTTTAAATTTTATCATATTTGATTACAAATACTTTATTTTTTCGAATAATTTCAACGATTCATTTCAAAAAAATTGCTCGAATCAAACAATTGTTAATTAAACTGTTTAGCGACTGCTGTTGAAGCTTCAACTATCTTTATAATATTATTTCAAATAGTTCTTGTACTATTTTTTACATGTAAAATTTTGTACATGTTTTACATGCCACGTCATTATGACTAGACTATTTACACCAAATACCCAATTAAAATAATGTGCCGCGTTTAAAAAAGTAAATTTGCATAACCTTGATGTTTGATAGTCGAAGTTTGCCAGATATATATCTAGTTTGAAACGTATGCAAGGTTCTTTTACTTTTTTTCAAACTCTAGTCTACTCTGACTAATTCTTCATTCTCATCTAAACATTTTTCCTGTTTTCAAATCCTACTTCAATGTATGGTTTCAAATATAGAGTGTTGGGAAAACGCGGACCACGTCAATCTGATGCAAATTGTATACATCATAATACATTACGCTTTTACAAATCGAATTATTTAATACAATTATAATACAATTATACAAATATACGCAAAAATGCAGCATTTCAACAATAATTACAAATTATAGGAATAGTCTTTGAAACATAAACTTAAATCAAGTTCAGAAAATTATATGCCACGCACAATCAATGCTTACTGAAAATTTTATATAAATTGACTGTTGTTACTTATTAAATAAATGTTGTTTACTTAGCATATCTTATTATTTATAATGAATATGATTTCAAACTTTTTTAATTTTTCTAAATCATATTAAGTATTCATCCTCATCTCGAATTGATTACATAGCATGTTTGGAGCATTTTTTTTAAAACGATTTCAACTCTGAAACATCGTATTATTTTATAGCTCCAAGCTACTTGTAAATAAATAGAATAACTGGTTGTAATTCTATTTAGTGCAATTATTTTAGTGGCAAATAACGACAATTACATCTATACAAAATTACATCTAGCAAAAAAACATAAACTCTTCATAATGAAATCTCTTTCTATCTTGATTGGACGATATTTTGAGAGTTAATTGAACTGGATCCTGCATCTTTATTCTTGGGCGTTGTCTTTTCAAAGGTTAAGAAGCTTTTGAATTCGTCTCGAAACTCTTTGTTTCTGAAGTTATAAACAATACAATTCCATAGACTATTTGATACTAGGATCAATAATGCGAATGCTTCGAGGGTGGTCGTGGTGGCAAATGACTGGTTGTCGAGCATCGAAGCCATGCTTAGTATATGCAGCATTAAAGTAGGAAGAAGGCTTGCAGTAAATGCTCCGATCATGATGCAAAGCGTTATAGCAAGTTTCTTTTCCACTTCTGCGTTTTGAGCTTGCATCATCGCGTGTGTATTGGAGTCAGACGAAAACAGAAGGTCCAGAGTTGCCTTCCTGTGCTTTTTAACGGCGGCAAAAACTGCAAACGCGCTTGACCAGATTATTCCGAGAAGTATGCAAGCAACGGTGATGAATGATGTGTCATCAGAAATCATGACAAACGCTTTAGACATCCTCTTCACGGTGTCTTCTGATTTGATAGGAAAGGGAAAGACGGACACGCAAATACACACAAACCATATACTGACAACCGCCATTTTTGCGGTTCGTATGCCATTGTGTTGGGAATATCTAAGGGGATACATGATGGCATATACTCGATCCAGCCCAGCTGTTGTCAAAGTGAGCCACGACACGCAAAATGATATCGAGGCTGTCAAACTCAAAACAAAGTAGTATTCAGCGGCTTGTATTGCATTTAGAAATACGTGTCCGTACATAAGAATAAAGCAAGGACAGACAAACAATCCAACTGCCAAGTCAGAGACTGCAATGGAAAGCTTGTAGACTGATTGGCTGTTTTTCACTTTCTTATTTCTTGAAGATCTCATCACCATTCTTTCGTTTCTCAGGAAGACGATAATCACGATCAAATTCGAAGTACCGATCAGGACGCTCATAATTACAAAAGCACTAATTAGTACAATTGAACTGATCAGGCACCTCCTTTGAAATGAAAACATTTTGTCAATAAATAAAATATATACACCTATTGTATTCAACAACTTTTGAAAATTTGTAATAATTTGTCACTAAATTGAAAGGTAATAAATATTATCAATTGTTTTACTGTTACAAGGATAGCATACAATATGAATACACAATAACATTTTTACCAATGAGACTCGAAATATTATTTTGAATGTAGACAATTTGCTGATGTATATATATACGATAAAAGTCCATATGGTCGATAATAACATGATTTTTGAGCGTTAATTCATCCCCAAATGTAGTTATTTATTCAAAACACCGAACACTCAATTTCAAGCGGCGTTTATTTGCGTCGCTATCACACCAATAAATTAACCGTAAGTTGAAGTCATTTTCTTCTATGGGGGTTAGTGACATCGATTCGACTAATAATACATTGAAAATGAGAAAAACTTTTATAAATTTCTGCTTAGAGGGCGACAAAACATTTATTGTTATAACCTGGTGTGACTACACTTCCAAGATGAAATCTTTCCATCTGACTTATCGATCTGTTTGATTCTGCAATATATGGGACCACAGATAGGAAGATTCCTAACGACCACTTCGTAGTTTCCGGGCAAGTCATACGTTGCAACCTGAAAAACAACAAATTTTAAAAATTACCAATTAATTGACATGCTCTTCAAAATGTTGAAAGTGAATGAGGTAAAATCCAGATTGTCACAAACTATTTTTTTTTTATATATAAATGAACTATTCCATCTGAATCTGCCCACCTGTATGCATGATTCCGAGAATAAGCCATCATTGGGGCTTATTCTTCCTAATGGAGTTATCATTTCGTTCCACATTTTATTCGTTATCGATTCCGGATCTTCATCACTGAAATTTTTTTGATTATATTTGAAGGCAGTTAGCAAAGTTGAAGAACATTCCTTTCTGAAATTTGAATTGTTGCAGTATCTTGAATAAACGCATTTCGAAAATGAAGTGTAAGCGTAATCTCTCCGGTGACATTCTGAAGTCAATCTAGAGCAGTTCCATTCTTCCATTCTTTTCATATACTGCACAAGCTCTCGTGCGCTGAAAAACAGTTGCCTGCAACAGGATTCCCGAAGTTCTACATTTGAGTGTAGGAAATCGTTATTGCTGCTGCAACCTTTGTCTAAGAACTTGTCCATCTCCAACGTTAAACATAATGGCAAAAACGGGCTAATACATAATAGTAACAAGCCTTTCATTTTACACCAAACGTTGATAATGCTTCGTTAAGTGTGTCATTTAAATATATAGTTTTGATTCTCTAGAATTTTTTCATAAAATTTTTTTTAAGACATATACAATGTTTATAAATTTTTACGCATGTTTCACCGAATTTTGAAATCGTGACTAATTCTTAGTAACAGATATTTTATATCCTCTTTCTCATATACATAATTTTAATCCAGTCTCTATGTATGATACATTTTATTTTACTTATATTCTCTGCAATATATTATTTGAGGTCTTGAAAACCATTTTGACTCACACTTCAGCAGCATAAAAAGCTTAGGAGGTATTGTCCTTATACTAATGAAAATATACTGTTACTGCGATCCAATTTATTACCAGAATGAATTAAATTTTATAAGGGAGTATGCATCTGTTATTGTGATATGTATAGCCTATTATAAAATAAATAATATCATAAAATACTATTTGAATGCAGTCACAATATTATTCCAATAAAAAGTCGTGGTTCTCCATCCAATAAAATAAACAATATGTTAATGAATATTAAAATTTTGGAGCTCCAGAAGTATGTTCACTAAGATGTCGCACAACCTGAACATAGTATGTGCGTACCGGTTAGGATTAAGGTTGTGTGACATCTTGGTGCACATACTTTTGAAGCACCAAAATTTTCATATCCGGCCGTAAAAAGGGATTTAAAAAACGCTGAGGGTGAGTCACTATGAAAACAATGTATGTATAAATTATACTAAAATTAGCCGGAATGCAGCACATTATTACTTGTTGAAACTATGTTCAGCAGCCTGGAAAAATAAGGCTCATTACCCTCCTTTTTTTATTGTGCTTCAATTAATCCGCGAGAAGTATTTTTAATCTGCCGTCAAATTCTTTATTGTTGCTATGCACATTATAATTGATTAAATGAACAGTGTAGCCCAAATAAAGATATGGCTTTCGAATCATTTTTTTCGAATTTAGTATATGTATTTATACACCCTAATACATCCTTTACTTCATCAAAACCTGTAGTCTTATTTAGTATAAGATTTAGGAATCCAATTTTATTACAATGCAAAAACCCAAAATTTAATACTCAGCAACTTGATTTATTTTTTTGAAAGAGAACTGAGAATTAGTATATATTTGGATTTGGCTCGAATCGGTTAAAATCATTCAACAACGCTTATATTTTAAAGAAATCATTGCTGTAGGCATTTAGGTTAGGTATTTAGTAACAAGAATGTTATCGAAACAGCGTACTCCTTCGAATTTGAAAAATCTAAATTCTAACGAATGAAATTTGGCCACAATACCGCATGGTGTTGAATTTGAAAAAAATTCGAAACTATTGAAAAACTACACTTAAAAAATGGCGTTTTTGAAACATTTTTGTTTATTAATTTCAATTAATCGTTATTTATAATCAATTTCAAATTTTTGTATTAAATATTTACTCAATATTTCACTCCTGCCTGTGCTAATTTTAAATTTAATATTTTTTCATATTTAACTTTGAATCAATCAATATTATGCAGAAACAAATATTAAAATCTGGCATTTCTTCATTATTCAATATTTCGACGGCTCAATTTTGGGTGCTCTCGTAGTATTCATACTAAGATGACGCACAACCTGAACATAGTATGTGTACCAGGTTAGGATTAGCAGGTGGTGCGCCATCTTGGTACGAATACTACGAGAGCGTCCAATTTTGTGTATGCTGACTAGACGTGCAACCTTATCAAAATGAAATTTGAAAATGGAAATAAAATATGTCAACATACAATAAACATATCTATTAAATCCGTTAATTGCCAACGTCCGTAGGTGGAATATGAGTAGCCCAGGTTAGCATGAAAGTTCAGATAATATAATATATTTTCCGAATGAATGCATATCTTTGTTTCAGATTTAAATCTATTCTATAACAAGGATGACATATACCGAGTGTAATAAAAGATTGGATCCCTACATTTGAGCTATCTTATTTTTAAATATATGAAATAGTTATAGATTCCCAGATATTAACATTTTTTCACATTACTTCAAGTTATAAAAAAATAGCGTTTTTCAAAAAATAAATTAGTTTAATAATCATTATACCAAGGTACAAGATGACCGTCACCCAATACACCATATTGAATTACTTAAGGGTGCGTAGCCACTCAAATACTATATTTTCATGTATACTGCAGTACCAAACTCTCTGACGCGATTATAATGCTGTAACTGTAAGCAAGCATTGATATACAACCGAAGAAAGCCAACAATTTTGGTAAGGATTTGCAAGAAGGGAATATGAAAATCCATGGATCATTCTCCCTAGCAAAACCACTTTTACGCTATGTCAAACGCTGACTGATTTAATATGACATATGATCATCGAACTTTATTGCCTACGTTAAGTTTTTGGCAACTTTATTAAAAAAAATGATAATGAGGGCGTTGCTTCTGTAAATCAACACACAACACCAGATCTCATACTCAACGTTACAGACTCGGTTTTTGAATCGATCTGTATTCCAGTACATGTAGATCAATATGCATATTTGGAGAAGATTATATGTCGGTTGATATTACATCTTTTGTTTGTGTTAACGTCCACAGGGTTTGATCTTAGATACGGAATAAAAAATTGGGAATTGACTTATCAATTTCCCCTAATACATTTGTAACAAACATTCTAGGTTTATACTATTTCGGGGTTTAGTGACCATCGTATACTGACTTTATTGAGATATGTAAGAGGTTTTACTGAAAATCATTGTGAATTCTCATACAGTATAGTAAGGAAAAATTGGGGTTTTTGAGCTGATGTTTGCAAGCATTTCGGCATCGAGATTTTTGGAACAACCCAATGCGCATGGGTATTTGGGAATGATTTCACTCGGCTAACTACAATTTCGTTTGCGTTTCTGTACACGTATATAACCAATATATTTATATTGTCTATAAAGTTAGTATAGGCCTTGAGTTTGCTAACACTCCTATTGTAAAACTCCTAACCCTATAAATAAATAACCGGTTTTCCCGTAGTGCGTGAACCAAGATGGCGGACACCGGAACGTATTATGTGTATCAGGTTAGGGTTAGGCCATAGTTTTAATCCAATTTTCCGTATTTAGTTCTATAACGAGTTCGGAGACTAGCCAAGTGACTCCCGTAGTATTTGTACCTGGAATTATGGCCTAACCCTAGCCTGGTACACACATAACGTTCCGGTGTCCGCCATCTTGGTTCACATACTACGAGAGCACTGAATAACCTCTGCCTGTTTATGCGGAAGCCAATATTCTATAGCAGATATTTCAAGACCTAAGAACGGAAGCAAGTATCTAGGGTCAGTACACGGCCAGCAATGTATTTGGTTTCTGTATAGCGTTTCTTGGGGGTTGAACGTCAAAGTATCTCCTGTCTTTGATAGAATGATGGGGAGAAAATATATTAAAAAGCAGATGTGAGATTCAGAAAGTCTTGTATTTCAAAACTCCATATTTTCATTTCATACATATAAATAAGGCGTGATATTTGTGAGCATTACAAACAATTATACGTAATATATAATGCCTTTAAAATATGGAAAAATATGAAAAATTCTGTTTCAATCGCTGTATGCGAAATTGCTGTTAAAATTCCGTTTACGAGAGCACTGAATAACCTCTGCCTGTTTATGCGGAAGCCAATATTCTATAGCAGATATTTCATGACCTAAGAACGGAAGCAAGTATCTAGGGTCAGTACACGGCCAGCAATGTATTTGGTTTCTGTATAGCGTTTCTTGGGGGTTTAACGTCGAAGTATTTTCTGTCTTTGATAGAATGATGGAGAGAATATATATTGAAAAGCAGATGTGAGATTCAGAAAGTCTTGTATTTCAAAACTCCATATTTTCATTTCATACATATAAATGAGGCGTGATATTTGTGCGCATTACAAACAATTATACGTAATATATAATGCCTTTAAAATAAGGAAAAATATGAAAAATTCTGTTTCAATCGCTGTATGCGAAATTGCTGTTAAAATTCCGTTTTATGCGCGAAAATTACGTAGCTATATGAGATGTAGGAAAGATGTTTTTAGTGATAAAAAAGAACTGCAAGAGTACATTACATTTACAACCTACAATTGCTTTCAAACTTCCAGAAGTTGAAAGGGAATATCTGCTGCGACGCTCTAGTTAATGTTTTACATTTCATCTGGACTCGTTCGTAATTTGAGACTAATTGTACCTCTCAATTGTATGGGTTATCTATCCATCGATCTATCTAGTTAAGGACAGGCTCAACGATTCACGGGGATGATATCGTGGTACGTTCAAATATCCACGGGTGAAAATATCAGGGGGTGCAAGTGTACGTGGGTGAAAAGGTACGCGGGTGAAAATATCGGACCTCCAGAAGAATGCGCAGCAGATGGCGCACAACCTGAACATAGTATGTGTACCAGGTTAGTATTCAGGTTGTGTGCCATCTTGGTGCACGTACTTTCGGAGCGCCAAAACATCTATGGGTGCAAACGTCAGTAGGTGCAAATGTTCATGGGTGCAGTCTGTAACTGGATGCCTAAATCTGCGGGTGCAAATATATGGGTGCAATCGTACTTGGGTACAAATGTCCGCGGGTACAAAAATATTCAGATGCAAATGTCCTGTGTGCAAATTTACTCGGGTGCAAAGTTAATGGAACCGTATACATGGAATGCGTATATATCACCTTGAACAGAGAACAGCAATATACCAATCGTTCGTCTTGTATTTTCCTGTTGAGGCAAAGTCATTTCATATTTGAGAATATATGAAAATATAGATTTGAAAACTTTCCATTCTCAGAAATAGAAAACAATTTGTCGTAGACGGTCGAACAAGTAGAAAGAAGTTTTGAACTCAGTAAACACTTAAAAATCACTTAGCTTTCAATATCAATATATAATGCAGGAAATACTTCGGTGACTAAGGAAGTAGCCCTTTGAAAACCAATTGAATTACTGACAATATACTGACATTGGATATTTTTGTTAGAGTTTATAAAGAAACGAAGTATGTGCTATAGAAAATTGTCGTTATATATTAGTTCGACCTCGCTTCCGTGAATTCATTCATTATAAGAGTCAATATAGTTAACCCATACGATGTCCAGTTATGTCATCAACACCGTTAAATCTCATGTACATTTTGAAAGACTTTTTATAGAATCTACTTCATTGACCTGACAAAATGACCGACTTGTTTGTTTTGATGGTTAGTCGTATCAAACCAGTGTTTGGTGAGAGATGAATTCCGCATAAAGTGTAGACTATGATTCAGGCAAAGGCTGCCCAGCTATATAACGTAAGTGTTTTCAACTTATAAGGGCGTGTGAACTCGCGACCTATCCTTATATACTTTGTAATTCCGTGAATGTGGTTTATTGGTAATATACCCAACAACGCAAACAAACTTAGTGCTTAGCTGCGTGATTTCATTTAGTATTATCTGAACGTTTTGAGTTCAGTAAACAACCTTATTGATGTCGAGTCGACATGTTCATAAGAGCATTATTGCTGGAACTAATTTTGCAGTTTAGTAACTTGAATTGGCGTTAATTTATATTCTGAGAGTTTCTACCGCACTGTATAGTTTGTTGTTCGTTGATCGGCTTGCATGTTTGCTACCATTATTTCTAATATTTTCGCGTTTAGGTGAAATTGAATTACTTTTCTTTAATAATTCTTAGATAAACAAGTTTTTGTTTAACTAGTTTTTAAAGGTGTCACAATCTGTAATTAGTTTCAAGATGAACAAGATTTTATTCCTTGTTTTATTGATCGTCGTCTGCATTGCTCTGGCGAGTGAGTGATTTACCAACTTTTTTCTTCCTCTTAAAACTACTGTAAGACGTACAATTCATACAAAATTCTGGAACGTGGACCTGAAATACTTATATAGATATTTCATAAACAGATATAATAATGAATAAAAACATGTGTATGCCTCATTTTCATTGCATTTTTTATTTTCTTTGCCATTCACGTCTTGCAGTAACTATTGATATAATAATTGAATTAATATTATGCCAAGATTACTTAGACTCTGACGTGATAGTGAGAGTCTGGTAATACGGTACCTTGATGCAGTATAGTTTATAGAATAATTAGTTTGTCTCTTTTATATCTTTAATATACTTGCATCTTTGTTTGTTTTTCCAGATTGCAAGCCAAAGAAAATACGGAAGGTAATATATGAAGCAGATATTTTGGTTGCGATCGTATCCCGTGCCAAAAAATATTCATCTACGACTAGATATTAGGAATCTGATATTCACTTAATTAATGACTTTAGATCTAATATCTGGAACATTTATTTTTTATGTGAAGTGATTAATTTGAATTGATTTGCTTTGCTCAATCATTGAGATGTAAATCAATGATTATTGTTACTACTTTGGTTGCGATCTCAGTGGCCAGTAATCTCAGTGATTCAAGTTAAGGTTAGGATCTGAATTCTTCGAGAATGTCTTTATATGATTGAGATCGCGTTCAGCAATTATGACCACATACTAAAGTGGCACCATAGCACGATAATACCGCAAATAATAAGAATATCTCTATTCACCCGATTAGTTTCCGCTGAAATAGATTGTTTTCATCACACTCGTCTGGTATTGTGTTGAAGATAGCAAAAAATTGAAAGCTTTCCGCGTTGAGTTTCAAATCCCTGCGTTTATTTTTACTACAACACGTTTAACTCATCAAAATGTAGAACAGAAAAAGTTAAAATATTCGAAAGTATAACTACTCATTCACAATTAATGGGCATAATTTTATTTAGACCTGCACGGACATGGAAAAAAGAGGAAGATGCACAAGAAATTTAGACCCAGCTTGCGTTATTAAAAAGAAAAGAGGAAAGATTGAAAAAATTGATCTGAACAATCCTTGTCAATACTGTCAAGTGAAGCACAAGTGAGATTTCTCATTTATATCAGCACGCCGAAGTATTTTTTATCATTTTATACTCTGTGAACTTTAAATCAAACTAAGTATTATGTGGCCCATTAACAAGTAATACATATATCATATATTACTGTATAATTTATTCATTCTTCTATGAATTCCGACCAATTCTTCAAAATTCGAAGATCAGTATCTTCGAGTCACCAAGTCACTGATTACTTCCGTTTACATGGTTCAGATAAAAATAGGTTATTCAGGATAACATTGAACATACAGATTGAATAATAAGGCTTCTGTTTTACATTTTATCCAACACATTCAGGTTGAAATAATAAATCCTGTATTTTGGTTAAAAGAAACTACTGATACGGAACCCACTTTTGCTAAACTAATTTCACTATGCTTTGTCAAACTTGATATCCCCAGCAAATGTTGGATGAAAAATATAGTTTAAAATCTGCGTTCTTGAAGAAAGAATGAAGCATGTGTATTTTATGTTAAGAATATATAGATATCTTTCATCAAATAACATAATGGTGCATATTGTTTACAGGTTCAAATATTTCAAAGGAAAGTGTGACACAATCGATGGATAGTAAATGATGAAATATTGATTATATCAGCTGATGACATGACCGAAATGATGACGAATCTTGAATTTTTACAATTATTCTGCATTATGCTTATTATTTCAAGTTTCCACTACAAAATATTTCGTCGATAAATTGCAAAACAAATTCCATATAAGATGGCGCATTAGAACAAATTTACAGGAAATGTATTATTCAATCCATTATAATATTATTGCATAAATTGTGGCATGATTTTAAGTATTTCAGACAGAAATAATTTTAACGATGGACCTATGTTCAATTCTTATAATATTCAACCAAAAGACGTTGGTATTTAAAACAATATAGAATGATTTCTGGTATTTTCAACCGTTTTATTTACAGTGGAACGTGAAATTTTATGTAATTTTTTCAATATTTGTGTACTATATATATTACACTAATCTGAGCATATTGGTTTGGTAATGTTTGTTTAGTCGCCTTCGCAATCCCAAACGATCTTTCAAGCTTAAATTGATTATTACCTGAATGCATACTTCGCCTGTACAAATTCAGTATACATTTTGGCATGGAGTATTGTTACCCTATCCAATCAGGTTCTCCGGCCAGAGTTTCGTTAGAATTTGCGTACTCACCACCAAAGCACCATTCCGCCTTCTGTTTCTCTATGACATATTTGTCAAGTATTTTCAGAGTCTTCTCAGAATTCAGAAATTTTGTCTTTTTTAACATAAGGTTCAGTGGCTTCAACTTCATTCAACGTCAAAATATTAATACGCGTCTTTGTTCGATTACCTACATTGGTAAATTTTATGTAAAAATCGCGGAAGTTATTGGCATTCTACCCCTCGTCTTGAAATTAATAACAGTACAGCCAATGACTTACAACGCTTGTAATACGCAAGAACAACACGCATTGTCATTGAACACTGAATAGACCTGTAGATGTTTTTGGTATTATGTTGTTGGTGTTGTTGTTCGAAAGCTTGTTCTTGTTGTTATGAAAAAAATCTCTTTAATTACTCGACCAACTGATTTTGACATTTTCGGTATTTAACGATTGTTGTTGCCACTAGAGGGCTATTGCTTTTATCTCTTTCAACGATTTCTGTGGGCTCTATGGGATTCGTATTTTTGGGCGCGATGAATTCATCAAATTAAAAATTCAGCACTTTGTGGCGGTTCCGTTCGCCTTCGCGAACGTTGCTATCTGGTGGTCAGGCGAAGTCGTGGAGATTGCGGTTTACGGTAAACGATTAGATAACTATACTACTTCGCTTTTGGTGTCCATAAATTTGATCATTTCTCTCTTGTTGTATCTATCAGATAAAAAGATTGAATGTTGAAATACGACTTTATGAATCTCACATCTATTTTCGATATATTTTCTATCTCATTAATTTTATCAAGGACATACTTTGACGTTCAGCCCGAAAGAAATGCTTTACAGAAAAACAAAGGGACGACCGTGTACTGACCGTGGATACTTGTATTGGCTTTCAAATCGTAAAGTATTTTCTATAGAAGATTGGCTTTAAGTAATACGATCATACTCCTGGGAATTATTGCAGCGAATATATTACAATTGACCTATGCCATATCCGCCTATGCGATGAACTATGCAAAATTTCATTGAAAGTTTTTAAACTACGTTGACTTAACATAATATAGATCAATAAATTCAATACAATAATTATTAAACCCCAAATCTTTATGGACCTAGAGCATTTACTGCAAGTGTGTTAGAAAAAAAAAACTCATATAACTATTTCAATTTCTAGTCTAATATTTCGTATCTGGCATCATATCTATAGTTACCACAAACCCTGTCGTTGACACGAACAAGAGATGGAATATGACACGCAATATGAACTCCTGCGAATAGGGATATTAAGTTACTATATAGTTGTATACACATCGACGTCCAATGTTGGGTGTGCTTTTGAGATCATAGCTGATTTCACCCTTATCATAGTTTTCTACATATAGTCATCAGCTATATGTGTATATTTACATTGAATTATAAATCTAAAGCTTGACGTATTCAATAATGTTGAGTACATCATTCTTAATATCAAATTAGCCAAATAATGACATGAAGTTAAAGTTGTTTTGATAAAGGGAATGTTATTCGTACTATCAGATATGCAAATTCTAACCAAAATCATTACTAAACTAAATATCAGTACAGATGCGCCAGAAGAGTGTTTGAGGAAATCGAACTTCAACTGTATTTCTTGTGTTTCTTGGATCACGTTTTGGTTTCCAACGGTTGGGAATAATTTGAGTTCGTCATCGTTTTTTCTCGAAGTTCCTCAAATATAGAACGATAGTAATAAAGTAACATCATATTTAGAATCAGGGAAAAATTCTAGATCAGATTCTAGCAATTTCTAGGCGTATAATCGTTTATCACCCATGTTATTTTAGCTTATGTTGATCAATTTTTTCCCCCATGGCCTGTTTCGAAAAACAAAGCAAGGAATAGTATTAAGATCTGTAGACTTTGCTAAATATGAAGAATGTGTTTGAGAGCGCAACCAAATTTGCGTTCATCGGAACGAAAAATATTTAAAGAATGAAATTCATAGCAAATAGCAGCAAAACTTACTTTTTGTCAAAATGTGTTGAATGGAAATCGACTGCTCTTGACACGAAATCATTTTCCTTTCTATAAATAAAATATATAAGCAAATCAGCAAGTAATTCACGAAACAATGACATTTAAACGTTATGAATTAATATATCGAAAAGTTTGGACCGATTGATTACTTTCGGCATCATAAACTATTTCAAGATTTCTTGGCAACCATGAGCCGTCAAGTATAAATAAAACTATCAATACTATACCAGTATTCATAAGTCCTGGATAAGTAGAATGAAGTTTATAACAGTAGAATGTTTCCGAGGTTTAGTTTAGTTTGTCGTTAATAATTTGAGCATCGAGTGAATGGTGGTGTATTTATCAATAGATGGTAGATAGATCATGCATTCAGATCATATGAATTATCTACTTAGACACGATCGAGTGTGATAGTCATTCAGACCTGCAATTAAAAAAGTAAAATGGTATTATTTCAGCATCAAAACTTTTTGACAACTATTGAAATTGAAATATAAGTAACATACACTCCAACAAAAATATAAAATTATGATTATTTGAGGAGAGTTTTAATGTGGCAAAACGTACTCGTATGTAACATAAATGATTGAGTATATTTGAATAAATTTTACAAAATGAAATTTTGACGACTACCTTCGAAACCATCTATCTAGTCATATTTAACAACAAAAACATAATATGCTTTATGTCACTTGGTCACAAAAATAGTTTTCATTATACAGAAACTATCAGCATTACAGGAAACGTTTGTATATGAAAAAAAATGTAATGTTATAATAAAAATGATCATCTTCGAAATTATTTAATTGACCATTAACGTTCAATAATTAATACAAAGTGTAGGATTAAAACGTTTACATCCTGTGATAGGCCATGGTGACTATTTGCTCGGTCTAATATTAAGTTATTCTCCCTGGAGCAGTGTTTATGAAACTGTGTTCCGAGGCAGACTATAGCGTAAGTAAGACATTTTCAGGTGTGCTTCAATTTACATGAAAGTAGTTGTGTTTAGTCTGATTAAATATAGCATTAATAATTATTTCAGGCCGCACAATATTCAACTAACTACACTTGATATACTTTCGGGAAATTCATTGGAAGAGTTTTGGTTAATTTTACAAATCCCACTCTCTGTTTCAAAGCCATCCAAAAAAACTAGAAAGTCAGAATTGACGACAAAGTGCAGGCGGGATCGGTTTAGCGACGGAATTTAGTTTTAATCTTGGTTACTCGCATAAACAGACACGGAATAAATTACTGCAGAAATTTGTTTTGTCTTTTTCTCTTTTCAGTAATAAATGTCTCAATATTGTTTCGTTTTGAGTTAACTATAATCAAATACCAACGTGAAAGTAAACTTTTCCCCGCAAATACCTGATGATAGTATTGATTTTTAGAGCTAGTTTGTAAGGTATAATATGAAAGTTATTTGTGCTGGTTTGTCCAAAACGGGCACCAAGTCTATGAATGAGGCTCTCAGTATACTTGGATACAAAGTATATGATTTACTAGAAAACTTCGAAATATTTGGCAAAGAATGGCGAAAAATATTTGATGGAAAAGCTGGAGTGGAAGAAATACGAGCGATGTATAAAGACATCGATGCAGCAATGGACGTTCCAATTTATTCATTCTGGGAAATGATTTTGGAGGCCTTCCCGGATGCCAAGGTATAACTTATAAAGCTAGCGCTCATTCCTCGGTAACGGTAAACTCAATTCAACTAACCCTAAACCCTTTTTTTAATATCTGTTTTCAAGTATGTGACGTTAACAGAATGGGTGAAAGCTTAGGGGCATATTTACGTAAGATGTTTAAAGCATACCCTCGACATGGTACATATGAAACCGGATGCGAACAATTAATAATATTGAATTTCAGTGTACCATCGCGAAAAGGAGGCATCATCGATTTAGTTAATCATAATCACATCAAGTCACTCTAATAGGGAAGCTCGTTTGCTAAGATCTCTAATACTCTCTCATACGAAGGTAATTGGAAAACAAGACTTCGAGATAACATTTCCGAGATAAAAGAATATACAAATATTCATACAAAAATCTTTAGATCGTAATAACAACGTGATATTTATTCTACGGTAGTGTGCGACAATAAAGCAAGTACTGGAAAATTTATGACGAATTGGGAAATATACCTAAATTTTTTTCATAAAATATTTTTTTTTATCTAATAAAATTCAGATATACTGAAAATATAGACTATTTTTTGTGAATGGTCAAAAACTTCTATTTTGATCGTCGATTATTCTTGGGTCTTATCAATGAAAAATTCTCAAATGTATTTTTCTAGGTGATACTGACGGTTCGTGATGACGAAGACAAATTTTGCGAAAGCATGAAAACGCAATTAAGGAAAAATAACCAAATATTCAAGTTTCTTACTCTATTTTCACCAACGTTACGGCGTTTTTTAAACTTTTGCGAAGATGCAGGCAGGTGTTTCATTTTTTTTAACTGAACAATTATATAAAATGTGAGTAGAATCAATTTTGTGGTACGCCACAACAAGTAGCAAATAAAAATTTAGTTTGTCGAAATTTTTCAATTTTGGTCTGTTAAATTTATCTTCACAAATTTCGAATGCCAGGCGCGTTTTATTACCGCAAGTACATCGTAGGTTGTTTGTAATTTGTAATAAAATTTAAATCAAATTTGTCAATAAACAGTTTTCTTACATGTTTTTTCTGTCATCTTGACGTGTCAAAATTTGATTACATGTTCAATCTATTTTTCCTTCGGGTTATTCTTTCTTTTTTATATTCATTTTTGCGTAAATACCGTTTTGTACACGTTCGCTGGGAGGACTAATTTACTGTAAAATGTACTTATTTTAGAGTATATGAAGAGAAAAAATTGGAACCATACTGTATTTTGTGGAGATTGCCAAATAATATATTTAAAAGGATTATAATCTGAAATTTGCCAGGGCTTTCGAACTTCTCTGTCAAAGCTTGACATAATATATTTTATATGTTATTAAAATTTGGAATATATTAGTGCCACATACATAAAATGTAGAATAAATTAATATATTTTAATTGTATGTTTCTTGCTTTTCAATATTTATACCAAAGGATCCAGAGTATTTTGCAACAAAATAGGAAGAAATATTTTTACAGTCAGTCCTAAACTTAATGAAGAATTACTGAAGATGTGCTATCGGAGACATAACGCCTATGTAGAAAAGGTATTAAGTAGTTAAACTAACTTAAAAATGAGAATTGAAGCCACAAAATAACGAAAAATTTCAAATATGCTTCGAATCCATCGAACTCCTGATTGATAATTTTGTTTAATATAATAATTCGAATCAAAATACTTTTCTTTACGTTAACTGCCGATCATTGACCTTTCAAGCCTTAAAACAATTTAAAAAAAACAATACATTCACAAACCATTAAGGTATAGTGATTCTTGACTTTCGTTGTTTGGAAATTATGTATGATATAGCATATTCAATAGGACATTTCCAATTTGACAAAGGCTTCTTCATACATTTTGTATAAATGCATAGATTTCTTTTTCTAAATGGAAAACAAAAAAAATTGTACGAGGATGAATTGTTTCTATGCATATTGCATTTTATTTAGTTTTTAATACGTTTTTACTGGAAAGGTTTATCATTTCGCTAATTCAATATTTTAAATACATTTTGTATTTTCTTTAGTGCTGTCCACCTGAACAACTACTTATATTCAACTGCAAAGACGGATGGGGACCGCTCTGCAAGTTTTTAAACTTACCAGAACCAGTTGGAACATTCCCTCGAAAAAATGTTGAAGGAAATATATCTACAGAATATACACAAAAAAGGACATTTATTCGCATTAAAAATGAAGCAACGATTTCCATATTTTTACTAGTTTTTACATTGCTAATTTTTGTTGTTATAATCCTTATTGCCTGTGCATAATGACCTAATGAAATAGCATGATAAATGAATAAACTGAACAACAAATTTAGGGCTCTGACAAATTCATACTCATTATTTATTCCTTTTTTAATTAGAAAATTATCTAAAACAGTGCAAAAAAATATAGTTTGTCGTCGTATATTGTAAAGCAAGATCAAATTATACACGTGAATAGCAGTACAAACATTTTGAGTCTATTATTGTAGGAAAATGATATTCTTGGGACTTGAAAACCAATATTTATTTGAAAACAAACTGTGTAACATATGTATCGTGTTAATTAATTTCATCTAATTGTAATTAATATATATTTGGCAGTTATATTCTTTTCCTGGCATTAAAAGGTTTTAGATCGGTAGTCGGCAAACTGTGGGCCGCCGAGCATTTTCTGGTGTGCGCCCAATAGAATTCAATTATGGCAGTGATACACAAAAAAGTTCTATAAATTCAACATTACATAGAAGTTTTTTGCCAAATGGTTTTTGTTCATATATCAAACGATCATACATATGAACGTATACGTTCATTTCAACTAAACAAATTAAATATCCCCTCAAATTTAGAAATTTCCAACGAAATTGTTGGGCCTTGAAACCTTTTCCATTTTACGATTTGGGCATCACTTAAAACCGACCATTGTTTTAGAATTAGATAAATAAAATGAAAATTGAAAACAGATTCGATGACATGAATATGTGAGCATGTTCTTCTTGTCAATGAAGCCCAAATCATGAATATATATATTTATTGTTCACTGCATTTCATTATATAAAATAATACTTTGTTTTCTACATTGTTGTATTCTTTTTAGTCTTACATTTATATATCTTACTTTCAACAACTTCTATAGTCCTACATTTACGTCTTACACATTCGTGTAGGATGTGGGTGATGCTGATGTGGTGATGAGTATCAATTTATACCATATTACTTGAATTATTCCTCTGAATTGTGTAAGATGTCCCAGGCTCCATTGACAAAAGGTTTTGTCCAAAACTCATGAACTGATTCTGAACCCAAAGTTCTTGTCCAGGATCACCTCAACGGTAATAAGTGGAAGATAAAAACATCCTTATGGATATTCTTGTGAATTTCAAATGATATATATATATATATATAATTTCAATCAAAACTCTGATTTCTAAACCTTCAAGAAAATATATCAAACAGTGTAAATACTTTAATCTAACAGCGAATAAATATTAAAAGCGAACGTGATACCCCGACCTCACATCACCAACAGTTTCTATTAGCTTATTACGGGATAATTATAAAGTATTTATGTAAGTCGTGCCGATGGGAACGTACCCTTACATTTATGTTTGTGGGATAATAATTTGAGAAAGAAATTTTAATTTGATAATGACTGGAATAAAAAGATATTTCTGAAAACTCAAGTCGTAAAATGGATCCTACGAAATTCAAAGCTGATAACCCAGAAATATTTGATTACTTTTTTCCTAGTTTTCAATTCAAATTGGGGTAAATTTCGAGTTCTTGTTGATGATTTCAGTGTAGATACTCGATGGTTGTCTAAAATTGCCAACCTTATACTCCACGAAGGACAGATATAGTAATCAATCAAAAGCAAAATTGCCTGGGAGTAATGGAAACAATTTAAAAATCCCGTATTGTGATTATGACGGAGACATTGAATACCTGAAACAGGTCAAGTGTATGACTTCAATAGTAGAACTGAAACGTCATAACCTATGTGTTTTTTAATAATTTGGATTTTAGTACTGACGTCTCACAAGGTGGCGTAAGATAGCCACAAAACACAGTGATGTTTAAAAAAAAGAGGCAACTTTTCCATCCTACGACATGTGTTCTTGATATATCGTGATTTCCTGGGCCAATGTATGCAGACATAACCACTCAAGATCTTTCTTACACATTGTGTGGCACTTCAAATCATAATTCATAATTTAACACTTCTATCCCGAACTCAAATTATGGTATTTCGTCCAGAACTTGAGTGGTTGCTAGCAAATCTTGTCTCAGCTGTGTTTTCTAGTTTTATAATAGTAGTGGCTGTCTCATTTTGACTTTAAATTACTGCAACAGCTTACAGTATGTTGCAAATTAAATTCCAAATTGCCGCAGTGTCGTGAAACAGGGCTACCATGCTTTTCTTAATTGATTCAAATTACAACAGTAATCAGTTGCCATAGTTCTTTTCCATCATCGGAATCAAAAGGGTATCACACAGATATCTAATTATTTTGTGTGTTCGTTTCTATTCATATTTCAAGAGGCTTCGTTAATGGGAAAACGCATGAGATAAAAGGCGGTGTTTTTATTTGATCTTGTGATCATGTATTCGCAAGCTAAACACAGAAGCGTGGGCTTCAGTAATATCACATTTCTCAGTTAATAAAAAATTATTTACCACACACAGCAAACAAAAGCCCAAATACCATTACGTAATTTGTTGGCACGACCAAACATTGTCTTTAAGAGTGGCCACAAATGGGCGTGTCTGGCTGTCGAGTACCGCCTTGTATTGGAAACGAGATTAATCGAATACAGCTGACTAGAATAGCCTTCATAATGACCTGGCCAATAATGACGTTCTTAATAACACCACTGGTTCATTGGCTGATATAGATAATAAATCAAAACGTTAAGTTTTTGAGTATGTTCCAAAATCATATACCTTATTTAGAGTTTTTTCAAAGCGTCGGGGGACTTCACTTATATATCTACTCTCATAAGTAATGTGTATTACTAAAATCCAATTTTTCACTGGTATTTTGGAATTATAAAAAAAAAAACTGTCACATATCTACCATAACATATAATAGTCCTGCATCAAAACGCATTTGTTTCGTACCTATCACTTATTATTCTTATACTTCAATCATGCAAATGATAGTGAATCTTCGGTACTCCCGTAATGTGTGTACCAGGTTAGGGTTAGGCCATAATTTTATTCCGATATCCCTATTTTAGTTCTATTACGAGTTCGGGGACTGTCTGTGTTAGCCAAGTGAATATACCCCCTGCCCATAGGTTTCAGTCCCTTCACACAACTTTATGTAAAGTAGGTACATATTGGTACACACACTTCTGGAGCGCCGAAACTTCTTGGTAAGATTCGCTCCTGTACCACCTTTAAAAAAGCCAATCGCCGATTAAATAACATATATATTATATCATTTGCACTTTCTTGATTTTACTTTTTTTAAATACCCTGATATGCCATTTCATTTATCGGTGATATATATTTCGAAACGCTGAATCTGGAACCTTCAGGGATATGGATGAGAATTTTTTCTCCAAGGTTCATTTAATATCAGTAACCGTAATGTTTTTTCATCAATAATTATAGTAACGGTGAGCGTTGGACATTTTTAATATTCTTAAGTTGTGAAATGACATGGGGAATTGTTCCTTCAGGTATGTATGCCTTACTGTAACTGTATTTCTCGAATAAATTTTCTAAGAAATGGGGAATAAAGTTTATTGGCTATTTCGGTAAAGTAATAATTCTCACACCCCAATAAAATCTAAAAATATATCACAATACTATTGTTAGAAAC